TCTCTCTTTTTTCATTTTTTCAATTGTTTCCATCTCTTTTTTCTGTGTTTTTTCTACGCGGAACTAAAGAGTGAGTGAGAGAGAGGGGGGGGGAGCAGAATAATTGAGAGAGCGAGAGAGAGACAGAGAGAGAGAGAGAGATGGCTCTTCCTTTATCACTTCTCTTCCTCTCTATACTGGAGCTGCTTCTCTCTCTCTCTCTCTCTCTCTCTCTCTCTCTCGGTGCTGGACTCTCATGCATTCGGTTCGACTCGTTTAATCTCGCGATTGTTCGTGTCCCAGGTTACAGACACTTTTACAAAGCCCAGTGCCGGAGAGAGACGATGATGACGCCACAGTGGACAAGTGCAAGTGTTGTATGTTATTACAATACAAAACTCTCGGGTGTGTAATTGAAACCATTTTGTACAGCCTCAAAAAAAAAAAAAAAAAAAAAAATCTTTTTTCTTCTAAAATACAGAAAAATCAATTTTTTCTCAAAAAATAAATAAATTTTTCAAACAAAAGGAGGGGGGCGAAAAAAAATTACTTTTTCCCCCAAATATCTCTTACGATAGAGAAGGAATTGTGTATATATGTGTGTATGTGTGTGCATAGGGGGACAATAAAGGAAGGAAAAAAAAAACTTTTTAGAGAGACAGAGAAGGATATATATATATATATATTTAAAGGGGCTTCTCACAACGTTAGGATTTTTTGTTTTTTTAATAGATAGAGTGAGAGAGAGAAAAACGGAGTTTGCGCTTTTTGTGTTTAAATAACGTGTGACACAAGGAAAATAGGATTTTTTTTTCCTATTGGAATAGAGAGAAAAAGGGAACAGGAATTAGAATTTGTTTGTTTTTTTTTTTTGATTTGAGAAGGAATCTGGATTTGGAGCAAACACGTGCTAATACGCGCAGACGCCAATTTTGTTTTGTCGTCGTATACGTGTCCGATTCGAGCCACTTGGAACAAAACGCTCCAAGCAGACAAAGTTACCAGGTATTATAGTGTAACATATACATACATACATATATATATAGGTATATACAAATATAGGAAATTTAAAAAAAAATATAAATCCACATTTATTAAATTATAAAAATTTTCGTTAGAAACAAAAAAAAAAAAGGAAACCAATTTTATTTAGAAAAATATAATTATAATTTATAATAATATTATAAATATTATAATTATTATAATATATATTATATAAAATAACTATGTTTTTGTAAAAAATAAAAAATAAACACGTGGATTTTTTTTACTTGAAAAATATTTTTTTATAAAATTAAAACTAAGTTATAATAATAGTAGTGGTAATAATAATAATAATAATAATAATAATAATAATAATAATGATAGTAACTAATAATAATAATAATAATAATAGTAGTACCTAATAATAATAATAGGAATAATAATAATAATAATAATACACTGAAAAAAAATTTACTTGATTCAAATATTCGATTACTTGACTATTATCAAATAAGTATTTACTTGAACCAAATAAATTTTTTTCAGTATATTAATAATAATATATACTAATAATAATAATAATAATAATTGTTACAATAATATAATAATAATAGTAATAATATTACTAATAATAATAATAATAATAATAATAATAATAATAATAATAATGATAGTAACTAATAATAATAATAATAATAATAGTAGTACCTAATAATAATAATAGGAATAATAATAATAATAATAATACACTGAAAAAAAATTTACTTGATTCAAATATTCGATTACTTGACTATTATCAAATAAGTATTTACTTGAACCAAATAAATTTTTTTCAGTGTATTAATAATAATATGTACTAATAATAATAATAATAATAATTGTTACAATAATATAATAATAATAGTAATAATATTACTAATAATAATAATAATAATAATAATAATAATAATAATGAAAAAAATAATATATATACGAGTTCAACAAGTTCACTGCTCGAGATAAAAGGAATTTACATTTTCGATTCAAGAATCTTGAAATCGAAATATCGAATTGATATACGGTACAATTTTTTTTTCTTAACTTTTTACTTACTTTCCCCCTCCCTATCGCTTCCCCTCCCCTCTCTTCCTATTTCTCTCTCACGAGAGTATAATTATTATTATTATTATTATTAAAAAGGGGAAAACTTTTCTTTTCTTTTTTTGTAAACAGTGTGAGTCCCTTTAAATTCCAAATGTAAGGAATATAAATATTTTTTTTTTTTTTTTTCTTTTATTATCTTAAATGATATAATTAATGCCGATAAAAACGAGACGTATAAATTATTGTTGATAATTTATTTTTTTTAATTTTTTAAATTTATTAATTATAAATAATAATAATAATAATAATAATAATTAAATAAAAAATAAATAATAAGGGATTTTTTAAAAAAAAGTAATTTTTAATACAAAATTATGTAAATTTATATAGGTATTATTTTGTAAAAGTAATTTTTTTTTTATATAAATTTTCATGAAAATAACATTTCTTTTTTTATTTAACTTTGCATATAAATACATTTTTTTAGTAGTAAATTTTTTTTATTTTTGTTTTTCTATTTAATTATATTTAATTATAAAACATTCAACACATTTTATAAAATTTTTCATATAAATTTACATATATATATATATATATATATATATATATATATATATAGACATTTTTTAATATATTATATCATTAGAATTTTTAATATAAATTCTGATGAAAATTTTTTTTTGAAAATTTTAATACAGAAATTTTAATAAACAAAAAAATTCTTTCTTCCTTTTTAATTAAAAATTTTTTATATTAATAAAAAAAAAAAAAAAAAGAAATCAATTAAGATATAAATTTTTTATGTAAATTTTCGAATATAAATTTTTTGTGTAAATTTTCGAATATAAATTTTTTTACGTTAATTATTATAATATTATTAAAGAAATAAATAAAATATAGTTTTTTTTTTTAAATATTTTTTTATAACTTTTTTTTTTTTAATATTAATTTTATTTTTTTTTGTAGAATAAATAATTGAATATATAATATAAAATTTATTTAACGTCATGTTTGTTAAGCGGAATACAATATTTTTTTTAAATTTATTTTTATGACCATGTATAAATGTAAAGCGACTGGTTATTTTTTTCGCATTTTACGATGCAACGCAAGATGAAATTGATAATAATTTCTTTATAACAAAGAAGTTAATTTATTTGAAAGATTCAGCCTTGAAATGATTTATATTCGAAATAATAATAATAATAATACCCAATAATAATAGTAATAATAATAATAATAATAATAATAATAATAATAATACCCAATAATAATAATAATAATAATAATAATAATTTTTTTAAATAAAAAAAAATAATGGAATAAATTATAGAACTAGTATTCAAGGTCTTAACTTTTATCATAATTTAATTTCGATTCGTTTGAAAATTTTTATTGTTTTATTTTTTTTTTTCTGTTTATCCAATTATTAAATAAAAAAAATATTATTAATTAAAAATTAAGAAATAAAATTATAATTTGTTGAAATTAAATATTTTGACTAATTAAAAATTGAAATTAATAATAAAAAAAATGCTAATAATAAATTACTTTCAATATTAAAAATATTGACTAACTTTTTTTTTTTCAATTGTCGTCAGCATTATATTTTCATTTTTTTTTTTTTGTTTTGATATTGAAAACACTCTGACGTATCGGTCAAAGAATTTATTGTACAAAAAGTTAAACATTATAAATGAAACATTATCCATTTTGTCTCTGATAAGATTTACTCGCGCGCTTTCAAATAAATATATATATAACGAAGATTAGTTTCATTATTTTCTTTTCTGCACGTTTTTTCTGATAATAAATTTTAAATTTACAATTTTTTTTTACCTTTAGAAGTATTTATTTTTCTCTAAAAGAGAAAAAAAAATGAAAATTAATTTGTTTAAACTTTTTGTTGAGAAAAAAGTATTTAAAAAAAAAATGAAAAATTTGTTAATAAACTTTTTTAGTGAGAAAAAAAAATTTTTAAATTAATTTTTTAACAAACTTTCTCGTTAAGAATATTGTATTTGAAAAAGTGAAATCACTATATATAATTAAACATTTTTTATGATGCAATCGTCGGAAGCAAGGACCGTTTGTTTCTATGAATATTTTCAAGGCACAAATCCAAGTTTGTATTTTCAATGCAATTTTTACCGCTTATGTTCTGACCTTGTTCAATTTCTCTTTCTCTTTTGTTTTGTTTTTTTTCCTTTAGATAACAAATTTTTTTCTTTTACAAGATTGGAATTTTTCTAATTTTTTGAGACGGATTTTTTAAATGCCAAATTGTCCGAATTTTCATTTGTCCGAAATTTGTCCGAAGTCCCAAAATGACCAAACAAAAATTTAACCCTCAAATAATATAAATGTCCGAAATTTGTCCGAAGTCTCAAAATGACCGAACAAAAATTTAACCCTGAAATAATATAAATGTCCGAAATTTGTCCGAAGTCTCAAAATGACCGAAAAAAATTTAACCTACAGTTAATATTAAAATTTCGAATTTTGTTTTGTCCGAAATTTGTCCGAAGTCTCAAAATGACCGAAAAAAATTTAATCTACAATTAATATAAATTTTCGAATTTTGTTTTGTCCGAAATTTGTCCGAATTCTCAAAATGACCGGAAAAAACTAATCTAACCTATAAATAATACAAATACAATAAGTATACAAATTTCCGAATTTTAATTAGTCAGAAATTTATCCGAAAATTTGTAAGAATTGTTCTATTTGCGTTGAAATTCCCCGAAACATTGATTTTTCAATTTGACCGAAATTTCAAAATGACCGAAAAACGGATTTAGCCTAAAAATAAAGATTATGGCGCCAATTTTCAAAATTCAACCAATCAGAAATTAACAAACTAATATTGTGACCCCCTCCCCCTTTTTTTCTAAACTTATTATTATTTTTTTTAATCGATCGATAATTAATTGTTTCCTTTTTTTTTGTTACAGTTGACAGATTGGGATCTGGTCAGTCTGGTAATTCACCAAGAGTGACTCTTCGTCTCAATCAGGTGCGAGGCACGAGGGATGAAAAGAAAAACAGCTCCAATTCCCGTCAGGGTGGTGTGAACGCACAGGTAATTATTATTATTTTTATTCGAAAAAAAAAATGTTCTAATTTTGAGCAAGTAACTGATCCTAATCTAAAAATTACGAAAGAATTCTCTTTTTTTTACATCTCTATTCTCAAAATAAATTGGGAAAAAAATAAATAATTTTTTAAGGGACAAAATCAAATGGAGGGTAATTCCACAAAATCGTCGGGTGTTCCTGCGACGAGTGGGAATAACGCAATATCGCCAAATTCAAATAGTGGAGGCGCTGGCGGTGGTGGTGGTTCAACGTGGTCGGTTGACAATAACGACGTTTATGAATTTAAAAGTTCAAAAGAAGCGACACCAGTGAGGGGTTCGAGTATATCACCAAATCCTGAAAAGGATAATAAGGAGACTGCTAAATCTTCTGGTAGTCAAAATTCAAGTGGTGGTGGTGGTGGTAATACAACTGCCAGCGGTGGTTGCACTTCAAATTCATCAACCGGTGAAACATCAACGACTTCTGGAATTGACGAGGCAGCAATGACGACTTCACCATCATCGAAACGACCATTTGAGGGCGATGCAAATGACGATCAGGATGACGAAAATCGTAAGAAGAAACGCAAGGACGGTGAGAATCCCAAAGATAATGTCAAAGGCGGTGCATCAGGGAGGCAAGGTACCGGTAGAAGTGGCGCCAACGCTGGAGAAAAGGTATTTGGATTTTGTTTCTCAGTTTTGTTTGCTTACAGTAGTCGAGGAGTCGAAATAGTTCGTTAATTGCAAGTCTCCGATTGTAGATGACTAAATTCTTTTTGGGAGATTCCTTAAGACTTCAATTGTAGAGAACGAAATTCTTTCGGAGACTTTAGTAAATTCCTTAAATTACAAAATTCCATTGTAGATGACTAAATCCGTTGTTGGAGATTTCAGAACATTCCTTAAGACTCCAATTGTCGATTACTAAATTCTTTGTTAGAGATTTTAGGAGATTCCTTAAGACTCCAATTGTAGATTACGAAATCCTTTAGGGAGACTTTAGAAGACTCCAATTGTAGATTACGAAATCCTTTTGGGAGATTTTAGTAAATTCCTTAAATCCCAAGTCTCCGATTCTATGAATGACGAAATCCATAAGGGAAATTTTAGGAAACTTCAATTGTAGATGACAAAAGCCTTTATGGAGATTTTAGTGAATCCCTTAAATTCCAAGACTCCAATTTTATGGCTGACGAAATCCATTAAGGAGATTTTAGGAGATTTAGAATTCCAAGTCTCCAATTGAAAATGATGAAATCCTTTCGGAGACTAGATTGATAGAGACTACAATTGTAGATGTCGAAATCCTTAGAGGAGATGTTAGTAAATCCGTAGTAAAACCTTCAGTACAGGTTCAACTATCTGTGAAAAGAATCCAAGTGCTGCTGTTGCAGCAAAATTTTAAATCTCCGATTGTGGATACCGAAATCCTTTTGGAGACTTTTGCCTAAATTCCAAGTCTCCAATTGGAAATAACGAAATCCCTTTCGGAGACTTTAGTAAATTCCTTAAATCTTAGGACTCAAATTGTAGCTAGCAAAATCCTTTAGGAAGATTTTGGGTGATTTGCCTAAATTCCAAGTCTCCGATTGTAAATAACGAAATCCTTTTCGGAGACTTTTGCCTAAATTCCAAGTCTCCAATTGGAAATAACGAAATCCCTTTCGGAGACTTTAGTAAATTCCTTAAATCTTAGGACTCAAATTGTAGCTAGCAAAATCCTTTAGGAAGATTTTGGAGACTTTTGCCTAAATTCCAAGTCTCCGATTGTAAATAACGAAATCCTTTTCGGAGACTTTTGCCTGAATTCCAAGTCTCCAATTGGAATCAACGAAATCCCTTTCGGAGACTTTAGTAAATTTCTTAAATCTTAGGACTCCAATTGTAGCTAGCAAAATCCTTTAGGAAGATTTTGGAGACTTTTGCCTAAATTCCAAGTCTCCGATTGGAAATAACGAAATCCCTTTCGGAAACTTTAGTAAATCCCTTAAATTCCAAGATTCCAATTGTAGCTAGCAAAATCCTCTGGGGAGATTTTGGATGATTTGCCTAAATTCCAAGTCTTCAATTGAAAATAACGAAATCCCTTTCGGAGACTTTAGTAAATTCCTTAAATCTTAGGCCTCCAATTGTAGCTAGCAAAATCCTCTAGGGAGATTTTGGATGATTTGCCTAAATTCCCAGTCTCCGATTGTAAATAACGAAATCCTTTTCGGAGACTTTTGCCTAAATTCCAAATCTCCAATTGGAAATAACGAAATCCTTTTCGGAGACTTTAGCAAATTCCTTTTAAGACTCCAATTCTAATTCTACTTTCTTAAATCTTAGGACTCCAATTGTAGCTAGTAAAATCCTCTAAGGAGATTTTGGCTGATTTGCCTAAATTCCAAGTCTCCGATTGTAAATACCAAAATCATTTTCGGAGACTTTAACAAATTCCTTAAAGACTCCAATTAGAAATAACGAAATCCCTTTCGGAGACTTTAGCAAATTCCTTTAAGACTCCAATTCTAATTCTAATTTCTTAAATCTTAGTACTCCAATTGTAGCTAGTAAAATCGTCTAAGGAGATTTTGGCTGATTTGCCTAAATTCCAAGTCTCCGATTGTAAATACCAAAATCATTTTCGGAGACTTTAGCAAATTCCTTAAAGACTCCAATTGGAAATAACGAAATCCCTTTCGGAGAATTTAGTAAATTTCTTAAATCTTAGGACTCCAATTGTAGCTAGTAAAATCCTCTAGGGAGATTTTGGGTGATTTTCCCAAATTCCAAGTCTCCGATTGTAAATACCGAAATCCTTTTCGGAGACTTTAGCAAATTCCTTAAAGACTCCAATTCTAATCATAAATTCCAATTAAACAAAACAAAGCAAATTTAGAAAAAACAATTCCTGATTCCAGTGTACAAAATCAGGCAAACAGGGACTGGGCGCCACATCCGGTAAAAATAACCAAAGTTCAGGTTCAACGAATATCGACAGAAAGAGTCCAAGCGCTGCTGCCGCCGCCGCTGCAGCAGCAGCATCAAGCGCCAGCAGTCCAAAACCATCAGGTGGTACAGTAACAAGTGGTTTAAATCCAAAAACAACAACAACAACACCAGCACCCCATGAATCTGACAGTGAGGACGGTGGCGATCGTTCAAAGTTAGATTCCAATTCAGCACCCAAAGTACCGCCATTAAAAATTGTCATTCCACAAAGTACAACATCAGAACAGGAGCAAGGCAATCGTAATGGTAAGAATACATCGAATCGAAGTCATCAATTGCCCTATGTGGTTGCAAGTTCAAATAGTAATGATTCAACGGAAAAGGATCAAAATCAATCGGCAAGTGGTACAACAAGTCCAACAGAAGCTGGTACAACTGGCGGAGGTACTGGTGGTTCAAGTGGTACAGCATCCAAAGCAGAGGAGAAGAAAGATTTTGCTGGCGCATTACACGGTGAAGAAAGATCGTCGACTCATCATCAGAGGGTTTTACGAAGTTCGCATCGGTGAGTTAGGGAATTTTCTTTTTAATTTTTGCTTTACAGATTGTATGTTTTCCTCTTTGGACAAAATCCAGACAAATAGGAGTGCTTCTATTTTGGTCTAAAATAAAAATTTGGAGTTTAAAAGACTTTTTGGATGACTATCCAAATTCGATCACAATTCGATTGTCAATAAATTTGATTGGAGAAGGGTTTTTATGTTTTTCTCTTTGGACAAAATCCAGACAAATGGGAGTGCTTCTATTTTGGTCTAAAATCGCAATTTTGGGTTTAAAGAAGTTGGGTTTTTTTTAAATTTTTGTAAAAGAATTTGTTAAAAATTTTACATTTCCAAAAACAGTGGCAATGGTGGGAATGGTTCAGCGAATTCCAAAGAATCATCATCATCATCATCAGCGTCGTCGTCATCATCCTCTCAATTGGCGGGCAATGGAAATTATTCAAATTCCTCGCCATTGCCCGGCGCATCGGCTGATCGTTCAAATAATTCATCACCGCAACCAACGCCTGAAGTTGGTAATTCCGAGGCAAATAAAACACAATCCAACGATACAACAACAACAACAAATACAAAAATTGGAACATCAGAGAAGGTGGAGAAAAATTCAGATAATATTAAAGCACAAAAGGACAATGGTAATAATGAATCGATGGAAAATTCATCAACAATGACATCGTCATCGTCAACATCGTCATCATCATCGTCATCAACAACATCGACAAATATCACAACAACAGCGCCCGTTGAATTACATCCAAGAAAAAGGAAAATTAAACCAAATAAAGAATCACAACAATCATCGGTTACAGCGGCAAATGAAACATCCGAGGCAACTAGTTCTGGTCCCGAAGTACATCCACACGATCAACCGATAACTAATTGTTATCAATTATTTCTCAATATTCGAAAACAGGTAAATTATTTTCTAAATTACACAGGCACACAAAAAAAAAAAAGTTGTCTGTTTCTTGAACTAGACATATATTTTCTACAGTATTTTGGCCCGCTGAAACCGAATCTGAGATCAGAATTGCTCCATCACCCTCAGTTTTTTTTTTAAATCGACCAAAACCACCCTTAAACGGACAAATTCACACTTCGGAGATAAAAAATAAATCAACTTATTTTTAAAAAAAACCGAATTTTACATCTACGAAACTTTGCTCCACTAACTCAAAAAAATAAAGCCAGCATTGATCCAGCACCCCTTGAATTTTTTTAAATCGAAAAAACTACCCCTAATCTGAAGCATCAAATTCAGGAGATAAAACAATAAAATAACTGATTAAAAAATTTTATAACCAGGTACACTGCCGCTCAGTAGATTTTGCCCACCCTACAGAATTTTGGGCTTTGCAAAAAGTTTTATACTTTTTGTTTCTAATAAAGATAAAATAATAAACAATGACTTTTTTTAAAGCTTATATCCTCTACTTTTAGAATATTTAAAAATTTAATTAAAAAAAATTTTTTTTTCATTGCTTAATTGCTATTATTAATTAACAAAATTTTCCATTTCTTTTTCGTAAATTTTAAACTGATATATTTTTTTAACAAATCATCACATTTTATTTTCACATATATCATTGGTAAGGTAATTTTATCACCTTTAAAACGATTTTTTGAAAATTGTTATACGATAATTTTTAACCCTTTGCGTCACAGTGGGTCGCTCAGCGACCCACCTTTGGTTTTTCACTATATTACAATTATATTTCATATGAATTCGCTTGAAAATCGTTACTCGGGGGTTTTCGGGGTCGCTGATTACGAATCTGACTTTAGTTTTTAAAAATTCAAAATGGCCGATCCAATATGGCGGACTTGGAGTTAAAAATTAACTGAATTCGCTTGAAAATTGTTACTCAGGGGTTTTCGGGGTCGCTGAATACGAATCTGATGTCAGTTTTCAAAAATTCAAAATGGCGGATCCAATATGGCGGACATAAAAATTAAAAATTAACTGAATTCCCTTGAAAATCGATACTCCGGGGGTTTTCGGGGTCGTTGATTACGAATCTGAAGTCAGTTTTTAAAAATTCAAAATGGCGGATCCAATATGGCGGACTTGGAGTTAAAAATTAACTGAATTCGCTTGAAAATTGTTACTCGGGGGTTTTCGGGGTCGCTGAATACGAATCTGATGTCAGTTTTCAAAAATTCAAAATGGCGGATCCAATATGGCGGACATAAAAATTAAAAATTAACTGAATTCCCTTGAAAATCGATACTCGGGGGTTTTCGGGGTCGTTGATTACGAATCTGAAGTCAGTTTTTAAAAATTCAAAATGGCGGATCCAATATGGCGGACTTGGAGTTGAAAATTAACTGAATTCGCTTGAAAATTGTTACTCGGGGGTTTTCGGGGTCGCTGAATACGAATCTGATGTCAGTTTTCAAAAATTCAAAATAGAGGATGCAATATGGCGGACATAAAAATTAAAAATTAACTGAATTCCCTTGAAAATCGATACTCGGGGGTTTTCGGGGTCGCTGATTACGAATCTGACATTAGTTTTTAAAAATTCAAAATGGCGGATCCAATATGGCGGACTTGGAGTTAAAAATTAACTGAATTCGCTTGAAAATTGTTACTCGGGGGTTTTCGGGGTCGCTGAATACGAATCTGATGTCAGTTTTCAAAAATTCAAAATGGCGGATCCAATATGGCGGATATAAAAATTAAAAATTAACTGAATTCCCTTGAAAATCGATACTCGGGGGTTTTCGGGGTCGCTGATTACGAATCTGACATTAGTTTTTAAAAATTCAAAATGGCGGATCCAATATGGCGGACTTGGAGTTAAAAATTAACTGAATTCGCTTGAAAATTGTTACTCGGGGGTTTTCGGGGTCGCTGAATACGAATCTGATGTCAGTTTTCAAAAATTCAAAATGGCGGATCCAATATGGCGGACATAAAAATTAAAAATTAACTGAATTCCCTTGAAAATCGATACTCGGGGGTTTTCGGGGTCGTTGATTACGAATCTGAAGTCAGTTTTTAAAAATTCAAAATGGCGGATCCAATATGGCGGACTTGGAGTTGAAAATTAACTGAATTCGCTTGAATGGATGATGGATCAATGCTGGCTTTATTTTTTTGAATTAGTAGAGCAAAACTACATACATGTAAGGTTCTGTTTTTAAAAAAAGCCGGTAATTTAATATTTTTTTACTTCTTAAATTTGAATTTTTCTATTTAAGGGTGGTTTTTCGATTTAAAAAAAATTTAGTGGGTAAGGGAGCATTTCTGGCTTTGTTTCTGCTTTGCTGGAGTAAAAATACCTGGTTATAAAATTTTTTAATCAGTTATTTTATTGTTTTACCTCCTGAATTTGATGCTTCAGATTAGGGGTAGTTTTTTCGATTTAAAAAAATTCAGGGGGTGCTGGATCAATGCTGGCTTTATTTTTTTGAGTTAGTGGAGCAAAGTTTCGTAGATGTAAAATTCGGTTTTTTTTTAAAAAATAAGTTGATTTATTTTTTATCTCCGAAGTGTGAATTTGTCCGTTTAAGGGTGGTTTTGGTCGATTTAAAAAAAAAACTGAGGGTGATGGAGCAATTCTGACCTCAGATTCGGTTTCAGCGGGACAAAATACTGTAGGAGATATATGTCTAGTTAAAGAAACAGACAACTTTTTTTTTTGTGTGCCTGTGTTATTTCTTTAAAAATAAAATTAATTTTTCTTTTTTTTTTTTTATTTAGATTGAGAGCAGAAGAAAGGGTCTCTTTCCAGTACAACCAAAACCCCCACAAGGTTTTAAAGATTATTTAATGAATCGTTGTACTTATGTATTGGCGGGTAATCGTGAAACAAAACCAAATGTTAATATACCAGCGGGTTTAATACAATCAATGAAGGATTTATATGTTGATCAAGAGAAATATCGTCATCGTTTACGTATGCAGCATGTTGTTGAAAAAGAAAAATTAGTCCTATCAGTTGAACAAGAAATATTAAGGGTACACGGTAGAGCGGCACGTGCATTGGCCAATCAATCGCTTCCATTTTCTGTTTGTACAATTCTTAAAGATGAAGAAGTTTATAATGTAATAACACCTGAGCAAGAAGAAAAAGATCGTAATGCAAGAAGTCGTTATAATGGACGATTATTTTTAAGTTGGTTACAGGATGTCGATGATAAATGGGAAAAAATTAAGGTAAATTCAAATTTTTTTTTTTTACTATTTTTTAAAGATTTTTTAATTTTTAATTTTCTACAAAAAAAACGAATTACTTAAAATAAATAAAAATATTTAAATATTTTTTAATATTTTATATTTTTTTTGTATTTTAATATTTAAATATTTTTAATATTAATAAAATCCCAAGTCATTTGATGAAAAGAAATTTGGAATTAATGATATATTTTTTTTTTTTGATGACTTATTGGGGAAAGAAAAAAAAAATTGTTACGTGAAAACCGACTGATTTGTGTTTTTAACTTATTGGTTTAAAAGATCGTAATACAATTCACACAATGTAGGAGAATATATTATTCGGTATTTATAATTGAAAAAAAGGTGCCATTTTATCCGATTTTAATATATTACTTCTTGGAAATTAGATATTTGTACCATTTTCCCCCCCAACTATTAATTTAATGTCACATTACCCGTTTTAAGAGATTGAAATATAATTGCACCATTTTATCCCACTATTACAGGGTGTCTAAACAAAAAAAAAAAATTTTTTTTAATTGAAAATCACAAATCAATTTAAAATCAAATGAAATTCGATTATTTTCAAGAAATTTCAATTCAAAATCAACTGAAATTCAATTATTTTGAAAAATTTACAATTCAAAATCAACTAAATTCAATTATTTTCAAAAATTTTAATTCAAAATTAATTATTATCAAAATTATCAATCAAAATCAACTAAAATTCATTTATATTAAAAAATTTCAATTGAAATTGAATTATTTTCAAAATTTTCAATATATAATCTATTAAAATCGAATTATTTTGCAAATTTTTAATTCAAAATATTTTAAAATTCAATTATTTTCAAAATGTTCAATTCATTAATCTTCTAAAATTCAATTATTTATAAAAAATTTTAATTCACTATCTTTAAATATTGATTTTTTTTTTGCAAATTTTCAATTCAAAATTAAATAAAATTCAATTATTTGGCAAATTTTCATTTCAATATCAAATAAAATTCAATTATTTTCAAAATTTTTAATTATAAAACTTTTAAAAAAAATTTTTTAATTCACTATCTTTTAAAATTGAATTATTCTCAAAAATTTTAATTCGCCATCTTTTAAAATTGAATTATTTTTCAAATTTTCAATTTAAAATTAAATAAAATTCAATTATTTTCAAAACTTTTAATTCAAAAACTGTTAAAATTCAATTATTTTTAAAAATTTTAATTCACTATCTTTTAAAATTGAATTATTTTCAAAATTTTTAATTCGTTATCTTTTAAAATTGAATTATTTTGTAAATTGTATGTAATTGTAAAATTTATTTATTTATTTATTTATTTATAAAAAAATATTTATAAAATTTATTTATAAAAATTTAAAATTAAATAAAATTTATTTATAAAAATTTTAAATTAAATAAAATTCAATTATTTTCAAAGTTTCAATTTAAAGTTTTTTAAAATTTAATTATTCTTCAAATTTTCAATTCAAAATCAAATAAAAATCAATTATTTTCAAAATTTTCAATTCAAAATCAACTAAAATTCAATTATTTTCAAAATTTTCAGTTCAAAATCTTTTAAAATTCAATTATTTTGCAAATTTTCAATTCAAAATAAAATAAAAATAAATTATTTTCAAAATTTTCAATTCTAAATCAACTAAAATTCAATTATACTTAAAAATTTAAATTCATAATTAATTATCAAAATTTTCAATCAAAAATCAACTAAAATTGAATTATTATCCAAAATTTCATTTGAAATTTAATTATTTTCAAAAATTTGAATTTAAAAGATTCTAAAATTCAATTATTTCTAAAAATTTCAACTTTAACCCTTCCAAAGTATTATTATTTAAAATACAATTTTATTTAAAAATCTGTAAAATATTTTTGTTAAAATAAAAAAAATCGATTTTTTCGACTTTTTTTTGAAATTTAAATCGACTAAAACGACTTTTTTGTGCTTTTAAGTATTTAATTTAAGTAAATAATTATTTACTACTATTTATTGAATTTAATAAATGATTTTTTAAACTTGGATAACAATTAATTAATTTTTTTCAGTGAAATATTTGGTTTTTTAATATAAATCAAAATTATATGATAGAATTTTATTTTATCGGTTTTAACTTCAAATAAAGTAAATTATTCATTAATATACGAATAATTTATTATTTAATGCTAATATCCACATTTAATTTATAAAAATTTTTCACGCCGTCGAATATTAAATTATCGAATTTCTATTTAGCAAAATTGTATAAAGTTGGATTTTATATTATGCAAAAATTTTCAATTTACATTTAACTAAAATTCGATTTAATTTCTATTTAGCAGAACTTTTATAAAGCATTTTTTCTAATATTTTTTTTAAAAATTCCAAATTAATATAATTTCAATTTAACGAAATTTATGTCTGGAAAAATTGACAAAAAAAAAGAACTATGTAGAATTTTTCTTTAAATGTGAATTCTGTTAAATAAAAATTAGTTGGAATTAAAATTTTCTTTAATAAAAACTTTGGTTAATTAAGAATTTTGTTAATAATAAATAATAGAAATTCCGTTAATTGTAAATTTATTCAATGACTGTTAAATAAATATTTTTTTAAATCAAAATTTACTAAAATAACAATTCTGTTCAAAAAAAAAATCGTTTCTTTATGCAATTTTTCTTGCCATAAATTCCGTTAAATTTGAAATTGTATTAATTTGAAATGAAATTGTACTAGAAAATTTGCTTTAAATAATTTTATCTAAATTAAAATTTGATAATTTAAGATTTGCTCTCTAAATCTGAATTAGTAAAAAAGTTTACTAATTTGAATTAGTGACTCACTTTTTGCTTCTGAATTAGTAAAAATTTACTAATTTTTAGTAAAATTTACTAACAATTAGTAAAATTTACTAACAATTAGTAAAATTTAACTAATTCTAAAGCAAATAGTGAGTCACTAATTTAAATTAGTAAACATTTTTACTAATTCAGGTTTAGACAGTGACGCCGTAAAAATTTGTTTAAATTAAATATTGAGAATATTTATACATCCCCCAAATTAGTTTTATTTATTTCACTTAAATAATTTTATTTTTTTACAAAAAACTTTAATTATTTGGTTCAAATAAATATTATGAAATTAGTGGATAATAGACAGTGTAAATGATTTAATTGTATTAAAATAAATTTTATTTGATCAGAATAAAAATTTTTTAGTGTAATTTAGTTAGGGAATTTTTTTCCTAACAGTTATTAGGCACCCTGAATAAAATTAATACCATTTTACCCCACAATATTATGTTTGTCTCATAATTTAAATGATTATTTCCTTTAAAGAAATTACAATTTTTTGATATGAAGATGAAAAAAAAATACTTTTTTTTTTGTTTTTTGAACAGAAAAACAAAAGAAATACATTTATAATTTTTTCTTTTTTTTTGCAGGAAGCAATGTTACTGCGACATCACAATGAAGCGGAATCACTTCACGCTGTACAACGTATGGATTGGGAATGGAAATTGAAGGAAGTTGGCCTTTGCGAATTTAAGGCAACGCCACAAATTGAAGATCTTCATGTACCAATGGTCCACGTTGCAGATGACTTTGATCTTCTACCAACATAGTCTAGCTAAAGAAGAAAAAGAGAAAGAAAAAAGAAAAAAAAAAAAAAAAAAAAAACTGTACAAAAAACTTACACTTACAATTTTTAGTCAAAAAATACCCCCCTTTTTATTACGTTTTATCTTTGACAGTGTCGAAGATAATAAAATCTCTCTGTGATCTCTTCATCGATATAAGAACAAAAAAAAAAAAAAAAATTCGTACAGCGACGCCAATTATTTTCATATTTTGTTCATTAAAAAAAAAATTGAAGGTAAAAATATTAATATATAAAAATATTTTCAATCCAAAGAGAGAAATTTTACTAAAATAATTTAGTAAAGGAAAATTTTCAAAAATAATTTGCGTCGATTTACGAATCTGGTTCTTTTTTTTTTATAAGAAACGAGGCTGCATATTTTTTTTTTGAAGTTAAATCATCTACAATGTGTTTAATAATATTATTTTATTTTTTCCTTTTTATTAATAGGCTTTTTTTTTATCTTCATCTTCACAACACATCTTGTACATACTTTGTAACTAGCCATCAGAAAAAAGAAAAAAAAAAAAAAAAAGACGTCAGTGTATAAAAGCATTTTAAGGTGAATGGAGGAAAGAGGAAGAGGAAAAGGAAAAAGGAGGAGGAGGAAGAGGAGGAGGAGGAGAAAGTAAAAAACAAAAATAAAGTTAAGAACTTTCCAACGATTTGTTTTTTTATTTAACTAATTCCTTTATTTATTTATTTATTTTTACTTACTAGGTTCGGCGACTTTATCATTATTTAACGGATTATCAAGTTTCAAATCAATGGGTTTATCATAGCCCATTATTCGTTTGTAATGATACAAATCGTCAAATGATTCTGGAGTGAGAAATAGTGGAGTTTTTTTAATGAAACAAGAGGTAAACATTCCTGGTACGTCTGGTACTAAGACGTCTTTTGGTTTAAAGTCAATCTAAAGAAAAAGTAATTTTTTTGAGTTCTAAAAAAGTTCTTCTATTATATTAAATTAACAAATTTTTAATTTGTAAATATAAATTAAATATAATTAAGGGGAGGGACCGCTGAAATTTTAACACATCAAAATTAAAGCTGTTTAAGGGTGGTCAATTTTTTTTCTGACAATATTAATTATTTAAATGTATAATATATCATGAAAAATTGAAAAACTATAAATTTGTTAATAATTTTTAAAATCAAATTCAAAATTCTCGAAAATTTAAAATTTAAACTTCTCTCACAATTTTAATTGAGGAGCTGGAAAGTAAAACTCGCTCTCCGCTCGGATGGACTCCGTAGAGCCAGTCAAACATTTGAAAAAGTGATGAAAATTGAAATTCAAAATTTTGAATTTTGAAAAGTACTACATTATAGGAAATTAAAAGGCGCATCTTTTTTTCCTTTGAAATTTTTTTATAAAACGAATATTTTAGTTTCTAGAGACCAAAAACTGAGAAATTTAAATTGTTAAATTTAATTAAGTTTTAAAACATAAATCATCGTATCTCCGACAATTATTAATGAATTTGATTCAAATTTGAGATGTACACGTAATAGGGTCTACTAAAGGCGACAAGATAATGAAAAATTAAAAAATCATTAATTGTTTAAATTTTTTTTAATAAAAATTGTGACCAGTTGATAATAACGTTTTCTTACTTTCATCGACAAAAAGTCTGCGGGGAACTTTGTAGTTTAGAAAACTTCCAGTGAGACATTTGTTTATCACTATATAAGGAAGTTTTCTGTAAAATATTAAACCAATTCATTGAAAACTTTAAAAATTATTCAAGTTTTAAGAAAGCGCGGTCGACGCGCAAGTAAGTCCTAACGCTATTCGTACAGACAGCTGTTCCGTGCATGAAATATAATTAGATTTTCACATTAAAGTATAAATTTCTTTATTATTATTATTATTATTATTATTGCCTATTCAGAATTAAAGTTTGTTGACAATTAATACTACAATGTTCAATTCTGTAATTACCATGTTATTTTACAGAACGTTAATTTTCCATTTATCCAAAATGACAAAAAATTTGTAAATTATATTTTTTCAATAAAATAACATGGTAATTACAGAATTGAACATTGTAGTATTAATTGTCAACAAACTTTAATTCTGAATAGGCAATAATAATAATAATAATAATAATAAAGAAATTTATACTTTAATGTGAAAATCTAATTATATTTCATGCACGGAACAGCTGTCTGTACGAATAGCGTTAGGACTTACTTGCGCGTCGACCGCGCTTTCTTAAAACTTGAATAATTTTTAAAGTTTTCAATGAATTGGTTTAATATTTTACAGAAAACTTCCTTATATAGTGATAAACAAATGTCTCACTGGAAGTTTTCTAAACTACAAAGTTCCCCGCAGACTTTTTGTCGATGAAAGTAAGAAAACGTTATTATCAACTGGTCACAATTTTTATTAAAAAAAATTTAAACAATTAATGATTTTTTAATTTTTCATTATCTTGTCGCCTTTAGTAGACCCTATTACGTGTACATCTCAAATTTGAATCAAATTCATTAATAATTGTCGGAGATACGATGATTTATGTTTTAAAACTTAATTAAATTTAACAATTTAAATTTCTCAGTTTTTGGTCTCTAGAAACTAAAATATTCGTTTTATAAAAAAATTTCAAAGGAAAAAAAGATGCACCTTTTAATTTCCTATAATGTAGTACTTTTCAAAATTCAAAATTTTGAATTTCAATTTTCATCACTTTTTCAAATGTTTGACTGGCTCTACGGAGTCCATCCGAGCGGAGAGCGAGTTTTACTTTCCAGCTCCTCAATTATTTTTGACTGCCGATTTTTTTATACGCTTGTTTCATGATTCTAAACAATCAAGCGTATGGATTTTGAAAAATTTCAATTTTTTCAAAAAATGAAAATTTTGAAAAATAAAAATATTTGTAAAATTGTTAAAAATTACCTTTTGTTGTTTTTCTCAGTAGAATAAGATTTTTGGTTGAAAAAAAAATGTTGAAAAAAATTATTACCCCTAAACAAGATCAATTTTGATTGCTTTTAATTTTAGTGGTAATTTTGAAAAAATTCAACTACTTCCACAATTTTCATTATTTTTTATTGTCGAATTTTTTTTACGCTTTTTTCACGATTTTAAACAATCAATCGTATGGAATTTAAAGAAATTTAATTTTTCCAAAAAATAAATTTTCTAAAATGGCTAAAAAAATTTTTTTTTGAAATTTTAATAATTTATAATAATTTTGGATCCTAAATTATGCCAGAAAAAAAATTGACACTCTTTAACAAGAATAACTTTAGTAGGCTGAAATTTCACCGGTCCCTCCCCTTAATTTACAAATATAAATTAATATATTTATTTTTATAATTACAAATTAATATAGGGTCAGTTGGGGTAAATGGGGACAAAATCGCTATTTTTCACAAATCACGTAAATTTCTTCCTTTAAAAGGTAATATTTGTGGGTTTATAATTTTTTAAGTTGTTATTTACGTTCCCAGGATTAATTTTATGCAGCAGAAAAAAATTTAGATAAACTTTAAACACATGAAACTGACTGTTCCTATTTACCCCAAAAATTTAGCAAATTTTATAAAATTCGGGTTAAATGGGGACAGCATAGTTTCTAAGAAAGTTTTAAGAAAAAAAAAAGTTTCCTTAAGTATATTACAGGCCTCGGATCGACTTAAAAGCACAAAAAAAAGTCGTTTTAGTCGATTTATATTCCAAAAAAAGTCGATTTTTTTTTTTTATTTTAACAAAAACATTTTACAGATTTTTAAATAAAACTTTATTTTAAATAATAATAATAATTTTGGAAGGGTTAAAGTTGAAATTTTTAGAAATAATTGAATTTCAAAAGATTCTGTTAATTTTCAGACAATAATTAAATTTTACTGAACTAAAAATAATTTATCAAATAAGTTTAGATAACATTTTTTAAATGTAATGAAATTTTCAAAGATTTACAATTTTGAGATTTTTGAAATTAATTGAACTTGAAGTGATTTTTAATTAAAAATTTTTTTTCACTAAAAAATTTATTAAAAACTGCAGACAAAAATTAATTTTGAATTGAATTTCTTTAGTATAATTGAATTTTAGTTAATTTAGAATTGAAAATTTTGAAAATAATTGATTTTTATTTGATTTTCAATTGAAAAATTAAAAAATAATTGAATTTTAAAAGATAATGAATTGAAAATTGTGAAAATAATTGAATTTTAAAAGATTTTGAATTGAAAGTTTGTAAAATAATTCAATTTTAAAATATTTTGAATTGAAAATTTGCAAAATAATTCAATTTTAAAAGATAACGAATTAAAAATTTTGAAAATAATTCAATTTTAAAAGGTAGTGAATTAAAATTTTTTTAAATAATTGAATTTTAAAAGATTTTTGAATTTTATTTGATTGTAAATAGAAAATTTTAAAAATAATTGAATTTTTAAAAATTATAAATTGAAAATTTGCAAAATAATTGAATTTTAAAATACTTTAAATTGAAAATTTGCAAAGTAATTGAATTTTAAAAGATTGTAAATAGAAAATTTTAAAAATAATTGAATTTTAAAAGATTTTGAATTGAAAATTTGCAAAATAATTGAATTTCAGAAGATTTTGAATTAAAAATTTACAAAATAATTGAATTTTAAAAGATAATGAATTGAAAATTTTGAAAATAATAGAATTTCAAAAGATTATGAATTGAAAATTTTGAAAATAATTCAATTTTAAAAGGTAGTGAATTAAAATTTTTTTAAATAATTGAATTTTAAAAGATTTTTGAATTTTATTTGATTGTAAATAGAAAATTTTAAAAATAATTGAATTTTTAAAAATTATAAATTGAAAATTTGCAAAATAATTGAATTTTAAAATACTTTAAATTGAAAATTTGCAAAGTAATTGAATTTTAAAAGATTGTAAATAGAAAATTTTAAAAATAATTGAATTTTAAAAGATTTTGAATTGAAAATTTGCAAAATAATTGAATTTCAGAAGATTTTGAATTAAAAATTTACAAAATAATTGAATTTTAAAAGATAATGAATTGAAAATTTTGAAAATAATAGAATTTCAAAAGATTATGAATTGAAAATTTTGAAAATAATTGAATTTTAAAAGATTTTGAATTGAAAATTTGCAAAATAATTCAATTTTAAAAGATAATGAATTGATAATTTAGAAAATAATTTAATTTTAAAAGATTTTGAAAAGAATTAAATTTTCTTTGATTTTGAATTGAAATTTTGGAAAATAATTGAATTTCAATTGAAATTTTGGATAATAATTTAATTTTAGTTGATTTTTGATTGAAAATTTTGATAATAATTAATTTTGAATTGAAATTTTGGGTAATAATTGAATTTTTAGCTGATTTTGAATTGAAATTTTTGAAAATAATTCAATTTTATTTGATTTTGAATTAAAAATTTTTGATAATTTTATTTGATATTTTTTTAAAATTATAAATAATTGTTAAATTGTATAAAAATTTTAATTGAAAAATAATTTGAAATAATTGAATTTGTAATGAATTTCATTAAAATTATTAAAAATAATTAATTTAGTGAAGAATTTTAGTTAAAAAATTTGTTAAATAAGATAAAAATAATAATAATAATAATTTCAATAAAATTGAAATAAAGAAGATCTGAAGAAGATCTGCATTTTATACTAAAAAAAAAAATATATTTTTTTTAAAAAACTTTTTTAAAAATGTAAAAAAAAAAGTCGAAATAGTCGCATTTTATTAAAATAAGTCAAAAAAAAAGTCGGTATTTTTGAAAAAAAAGTCGGAAATAGTCGAAAAAGTCGTATAATCCGAGGCCTGATATTACTGTATTAAGGGATGAAAAAACTTGAAAAAAATTTTTTGGTAGATTATTACATTTTTTTGGTATTATTAAATTTTTTATTTCAGTTATTTGTCTCGCATTTAAAAAAAAAAACAGACTTAAAAATCATATCAAATTTTTTTCTTATTTCTTATGACTCCCATAACAGAAATTCACTTGAATTTTTGATTTTTGTTATTTTTGTTAATAATGACAAGCTGTCCCCATTTACCCCAAAAATTCGAAAACTCAGGATAAATGGGGACAACTTGCCATTATTAACCAAATTTGACAAAAATCAAAAATTCAAGTGAATTTCTATTATAGGAGTCATAAGGAATAAGAAAAAAATTTGGTATGATTTTCTAAGTCTGTTTTCTTTGAAATGCGAGAAAAAATACTAAAAACTGTTTGACTTTGATTTTCAAGTTTTTATGCATTGAGCGTTAACTTTTTTTATCTTGCTGCCAATTGTCAAGATAAAAGCTTGGCAATACTCAAAACCTCTTGTCCCTTATTTACCCCAACTGACCCTACAATATTTTTTATTTCTTTTCTTTTTTTTATAAAAAAAAAAACAAACAAACCTGTTTTTCTTTCAGAAATATCGTGTACGTTGAGGCAATATATTTATCCTGTTCCGGTAAGTACTTTATGTGTGTAATATATTTTTTTGTAATTATATGAAGTAAAAGTGGCGTTGCAATGGCAAAAAAGCAAAAAAATACTGAAACACCAATTAGTGTTGCTGTGCCATTGGATTGTGCCATTTTTTGATAAATTATCGGCTGTGCCATTATACCGAGACATGAGGTGAATAATGAAAATATTTTAATATTACGAATTTGTCGTGTTAAAATTCCCGTGTAAATTTGCAACGACGACGAAGACGATGAATTCTGTTTAGTTTCATTTGTTGAAAAATTTCTCGACTTCACGCATGTCGTTATCTGAAATGGAAAAAAAATTTTTTTTCTTATATTTAGAAAATAGAATAAAATATGGTCCGGTTTAGGTAGAATTCCCCATATACAAATTTTTTTTTATAAATATTAATTTATTTATATAATTATAGAGTGGCTACGAAAATTTACTACTAAAATTCAAGGTTTTTTTCTTGGGTGGTTTTAAAACGAAATTTTAATTTCAATTTCAAATCAGTAAAATTTTTTGCTTTAAACTAAAAATACTTTTAATTTTAACATATTTTCCTCTATATTTTATGAATTTTTTACGTCGGTGAAGTTTATAACATTTATGATCAACGATTCAAAAAAAAATATTTTCCACTTAAAAAATAATAACTAATTTTTTGCCTACAAATTTGTTTTTTTCAAATAATTGTTGATCAAGAAACGTTGCAAAAAATTTTGTAGTTCAAAAATAATAATAATTTGCATAGGGAAATATTTTTTCTTCTTAATCGTTGATAATAAACGTTGTGAACTTCACCGACGTAATTTTTTTTTTTTTATTTTTAAACATATATTTAAGGCTTAAATCATTTTTAATTTAATTAAAAAAAAAAAAAAAAATTTTTTTGCTTGAAAATTTGTAATTTTTTTTAAAAATGAAAATTTTCTAAAAATTTAGGGTGTCTTAACTGTTAGGAAAAAAATTTCCTGACTTTTCACTGACATTTCTCATGATCTAAATTAGACTAAAAAAATTTTTATTTTAATCAAATAAAATTTATTTTGATACAATAAATTTTTATTAACAAATAGTAATAAAATAGTTGGAATATTTTTGAATAAATTTACAGTTTATTTCTTAAATCAGATATATTACTAATTTTTAATTTAACTAAAATATTTACCAAGAATTTACGAAGAATATTATAAAAATAGTTCAAAAAAAAAAATTAAATTTTCGGAGTGTTATAATTGAAATTATTAAATTTCAAAAAATTTTCAATAAAAAATTTTTTGAAATAATAAAATTTTAGAAGCTTTAAAATTCAAATTTTTTAAAATAATTGAATTTCAATTGAAATTTTGAATAATAATTCAATTTTAGTTGATTTTTGACTGAAAATTTTGATAATAATTAATTTTGAATTGAATTTCTTTAGTATAATTGAATTTTAGTTAATTTAGAATTGAAAATTTTGAAAATAATTGATTTTTATTTGATTTTCAATTGAAAAATTGAAAAATAATTGAATTTCAAAAGATAATGAATTGAAAATTGTGAAAATAATTGAATTTTAAAAGATTTTGAATTGAAAGTTTGTAAAATAATTCAATTTTAAAATATTTTGAATTGAAAATTTGCAAAATAATTCAATTTTAAAAGATAACGAATTAAAAATTTTGAAAATAATTCAATTTTAAAAGGTAGTGAATTAAAATTTTTTTAAATAATTGAATTTTAAAAGATTTTTGAATTTTATTTGATTTTAAATTGAAAATTTGCAAAATAATTCAATTTTTAAAAATTATAAATTGAAAATTTGCAAAATAATTGAATTTTAAAATACTTTAAATTGAAAATTTGCAAAGTAATTGAATTTTAAAAGATTGTAAATAGAAAATTTTAAAAATAATTGAATTTTAAAAGATTTTGAATTGAAAATTTGCAAAATAATTGAATTTCAGAAGATTTTGAATTAAAAATTTACAAAATAATTGAATTTTAAAAGATTTTTGAATTTTTTTTGATTTTAAATTGAAAATTTGCAAAATAATTCAATTTTTAAAAATTATAAATTGAAAATTTGCAAAATAATTGAATTTTAAAATACTTTGAATTGAAAATTTGCAAAGTAATTAAATTTTAAAAGATTGTAAATAGAAAATTTTAAAAATAATTGAATTTTAAAAGATAATGAATTGAAAATTTGCAAAATAATTGAATTTCAGAAGATTTTGAATTAAAAATTTACAAAATAATTGAATTTTAAAAGATAATGAATTGAAAATTTTGAAAATAATAGAATTTCAAAAGATTATGAATTGAAAATTTTGAAAATAATTGAATTTTAAAAGATTTTGAATTGAAAATTTGCAAAATAATTCAATTTTAAAAGATAATGAATTGATAATTTAGAAAATAATTGAATTTTAAAAGATTTTAAATTGAAAAATTTTGAAAATAATTAAATTTTCTTTGATTTTGAATTGAAATTTTTGAAAATAATTGAATTTTTTTTATTTTGAATTAAAAATTTTTGGTAATTTTATTAAATTTTTTTTTAAATTTCATAAAATTTTAAAAAACAGTATTTATAAAATCGAAAAAAAATAAACTTTATTAATTTAATTAATAATAATAATAATAATAATAATAATAATAATAATAATATAATAACCTCCTTTTAATTTTAAAGAAACTACTATGAATTATCAATTTTCAATTGTTTTTAAATTTTAATTTAATTTAAAAATATTTAAAACTACGAAATCGAGTAAAATACGTCAAAATATATATTTATTTCTAGCTTCGTCAAAAAGCCTTCTATCGAAATGAATTTTTGTTAATATAAACTAAAGGTTATTGTTTTGACAATTATATTTTTATTATATATATTTTTAAAAACAAAATTTAAATTTGAGGTTAGAAAAATACAAAAACTAACCTTAATTTTATTATCAAAAATTTTTGTATTTACAAGGCAAGTATATTTTGAATGACTTATTTCCAAAAAACATCGTTTTCCATAATTGCTGATAAACGATTTTAATAATAATGCCATTTTTTTTAATGTCCTCTTTCTTTTTTTTTTATATCTATATATTTTAAAAGAAATTAAACATTCTCTCTAAAAGATAAAAGTCAACATAATCAAAATATGATTCAACCTTGTGAATCAGGGTTGGGATAGTAATGCTTGCTAATTGTCTCTTTTTCGTAACGGTTGGGAAGTTTATTCGAATGAAACTAGTGAAACGTCCCAAATGTGTCGCATTACTATAATCGAAAATTATTCCAAATTTCTTTTGCAAAAGAAATTTTAAAAGTTAATAATTCAAACGAATATTAAGACCTAGATTTACACCAAAAAGTCGATCAAAAATTTTTTAAAACTAGAATTAAAATTTTTTTTTCTAATATTTAGGCTTCTTTCACAATAGCTAAATCGCATTGATTTAAATTTTCGTAACAATAGCGCCGCCAAACGGTCTTCTTGGTCAATTACTAAACTATCCCATTGCTATTTTTGTTTCCGAAACGTTTGAATATTTGTTTCTCTAATAAATAAATAAATAAATAAATAAACAAATACATAAATAAATTTAATTATTCTATTATTAAATAATAATTATTAAAATATTTAACAAAAAAAAGGATAGGAAAAGAAAAAAAGAGACATGATATAAAATATTATATATTATTTTATTCTCTACGTCAGTGGAGGAAAAATAATTGGGCTTTGTGCGTAAAATAATAATAATAATAATAAGACTTAAATTAAAAATTAAAATTAAAAACATAAATATATGTATATAATTTGTATATAGATATATTCAATTTAAATAATAAGAGAATTAAAATAAAAAATTTCATTAAAATTTGTAAATTTTTTTTTTCTTCTCGTTGAAACGTTAATTATTTTAATTCTTCGGGATGTGTGTATATATATGTGTAGAAAAAAAATAAAATTTTTTTTTTCGATTTTCACAGTTAATAATTGCAATATTGTTGTCACGTAACAAAATATAAATATTTTTTTTTTTTTCAATTCAGTTCAGATTTGGTTTTTTTTTTTTTTTTTTTTCTTCAAAAATCAGAATGGCCCATCACACTGTACATGATTCTCTTGAAGCTGTTGCTTTGATGAATTTTTTCATCATCGTCTATCTAAAAAATACATAAGGAGAAATTTTTCTTTTTAATTTATTTTATTTTTTTTTTCAAAAAAGAAAAAAATTATATATATATAGCTTTATGTGGTTTTCGATGGGAGGTTTGTGTACTTAGAAAACCGAATTGTCCTTTTAAAAAAAAAAAAAAATTATTAATTTCCTGTTAAAATTTAATGAATTATTAAATTTTAAATAATTGCTAAAATTATAATGTAAATATTGTTATAAATTTAATGAATTTTTATTGTTATTATTAAATTAAATTAAATTAAATTAAATAAAATTAAAAAATATAAATAAATAAAATTATTAAAAAATAACAAAATTATTATTATACAAAATAATTTCCAAATTAATTAATTGAATTTTTAATTATTATAAAAAAAATTTAATTATTTCAAATTAATTAATTTAATTATTATTAATTAAAATTTAGTTATATTAAATTAATAATAATAATAATAATAATAATTTTTAATTAATTAGTATTTAAACTCGGTGAATTATAAAATAAATGAATGATAATAATAATTAATAATTGGTTAAATAATTAATTTTTAAACACGACGTATTTATTAGTTTATGATTAATTATTAATTATTTAAATAAAATCGAAATTTTCATATTTTTTTTAATTTTATTTTTAGTAAAAAAGTTTTAGGCGAAAAAAATTTTTTTTTTTAATTTTATTTTTGTAGATAAATTTTTATCAGTTTTAGTCGTAGTTTGTGAAAAAAAAAATTTATAACTTTTTTTTTTCTTTCTTTTAGTATATATAATGAGCGAATTTTAGTCGAAGCCAAGTTTTTTTCAATTTAGCGAATGTATATAAGCGACGATTTATATCAAGTACACAAATTTTCACGTACAAAATTTCAGTAGTCATTGACTCGATCCTTAACGAAAGGAAGAGGAAAAGGGCGTCTAAAGTTCCCACCCTTAAAAAATTTTATTAATTTGAAATTATTATTTATCATACAAAAAGAAAAAATTTTAAAAAAATTAAAATTAATTAAAATTAAAAATTTTTTTTTTATTTTATTATTATTTTTTTAAAATAAAATTAATAAATTTAATTAAAATAATTAATTAATTTCATCACTTAAATTAATATAATAGATAATTTAAATTAATTAATTAAAAAAAAATATTAAATTATTTAAAAATTATACTCACAAATGAGGCAGGACTCCTTGGTGGTGGTTGTGGTGCCTGAAAACAATGTAATTGTAAAAGAAAATTTATTTTGCGTTAAAAAAAAAATTTACAATAAATTTTTTACATATGGCCATATTTAAAAAAAAAATTTTAATTTTAAATAAAAAATTTTTAAGATAATAATTAATTATAATAATAAAATTAATAATAACAAATTTAATAATATAAAATTATTTAAATAATTCCCTAAAGAAAGGGGGAAAAAGAATAAAAAAAATTATAGGTTATGTTTATGATAGTTTGTAGAAAAGCAATCATAAACATAACCTATAATTTTTTTTGTTTCTTTTGCCCCTTACTTCAGAGCGTATCACAAATATTTATTACCATTGTAAAAAATAATTAATAATTTATTTACTCAAAAAATTAGCGGGTAAATTTATTATTAATTTATATAATTTTAAATAAAAAATTTTAAAGATAATAATTAATTATAATAAAAAAAATTAATAATAACAAATTCAATAATATAAATTTATTTAAATAATTCCCTAAAGAAAGGGGGAAAAAGAATAAAAAAAATTATAGGTTATGTTTATGATTGTTTGTAGAAAAGCAATCATAAACATAACCTATAATTTTTTTGTTTCTTTTGCCCCTTACTTCAGAGCGTATCAAAAATATTTATTACCATTGTAAAAAATATTTAATAATTTATTTACTCAAAAAATTAGCGGGTAAATTTTTAATTAATTTATATTTACTTCGAAAAAGGCATAAAAATTTAAATTTAATTTTTTTTTTTTTTTTTTTTTTTTTTAATAATTTTTTTTGTACCCCAATATGATTTGATCTTTGTGGTGAGAAAACTCCGGTACGTGCTGGCTGTCTGATTTCGTGATGTGCATAATCCCCAAATGCGTCGTCCTGAAGAGCCTTGTATGCTTCGCTCTTACTCGGGTCGTACTTCACCGGTTTCTTGATGCTATACATTGTTCGTACACGAATTCTTAATCGTTTCATTTCGCGAGTTAAATTAGCAGCAGCCAATTATTATTATTATTATTTTTTTTTTATTTTATTAATTAACAAATTTAGCATTTCTAAAATCTACTAAACTCTCAATAATTTATTCAATTTCTATTCTTTATTTAGAACGTGCAATTAAATTTAGTTTTTTCTTTCCCAATTTTTAAATTTTATTTAAATTATCAAAATGAATTTAAAAATTTAAATTTTCAAATATTTCGCGGGCTTTTGTTACTTATGCGTCACAATATTAAGGTACGTTTACTCATTTTGCTCTAAATGAAAAGTTATTAAATTTTAGTGTTGGCAACAGTGTAAAGCGAATTGGCAACACTGGTATTTGTCCAGAAATTTTGAAATTCAATTTGATAATTTAAAATTTTCAATGGAAAGTTAAAATCTAGTGCAAGCAATTATTTTTAGAATAGAAAAGTAAATAAAGAAATATAATTTCTAACCTATATCGTTAGTACCTAATTTTTTGTCCAATTTTTAAGTTATCACGTAAAAGCATAGTGCATGCAAATATAAGAGAAATTATTGTCCCATTAAAAAAAAAAAAAATTATTCTCTTAGGGAAATTAAGAAATTTTTTTTTTTCAAAATCTCGTTTTTTCGAAATTCCTCTTTTTTTTATTGTATTTTTTTTCATAACAAAAACAAAACTACTGATTTCTTTTTAATGGATATGATTTTGAAAAAAAATGATTTTTTAAAATTTAAATTTGTATTTTTTTTTTTTTTTTTATTTAATTTGGTTTATTAAATTGAGGCCACACGTTCTTTGAAGTGGCTGCCATTGCCTGTTCTTTCATAATTCTCGCTTTCTCCTGAATTTGTTGTTTTTGTTTCACGAAGGAAAAGTCTATGAAAATGCTGCAAAAAATAAAGAAACAGCCACAGTAAATATCAGGGTGCGAAATCACTCCAATTTACTTTCATTTAGCCTCTTTTTTCTTTTTAAATTTTTCCCGCCAATAAAAAAAGTTTATCTTTTTAAAATGGCAAACATAACCTGTAAAAAAATTTGTTCTTGATATAAAGATCTTTCTACATTCTGACGCAATGACCGTAAGGGTCAGTTCACAGTGTTTTTTTTTATTTTGGGTTGAAATCACAAAAGAAGCTTTAAGCTGCTTTTACAATAATTTTTTTTTTCAAAGAATAGACACCATATTTTTGACAGTGAATATTCTTCATGGAGAAGAAAAAAAATTTATTGTGAAAGCAGCTTAAGGATTCCTTGTGAATTCACCTTTAATATCAGTAGTTCACACGTTCAGGATTAGGCAGTTACGTGTTGAGTAGATTAGTTTTAAGGTACATTCACATTACACCTTTGCAAAAGGATGTCACATTTGAGATGTTCTACTATATGCGAATGATTAACTGCAGTTATGTGATTGTACCTTTAGTGAATTAAAATTTGTAACGTTTTTTACGTCTATATTTAAAAAAAACCTACTTAATCGGCCTAATTTATCGAAATTTATGCATAAAGGTGCATTCACACGTAAATGCAAAACAAATTGCATTGTCTTTTCATTTACATGTGAATGTACCTTTACCCCTAATATTATTCCACTGTGAACTCAGCCTAATAGACATTTTTCTAACCTTTCGGAGAAATCACTAAACTTTTACGTTCCCTTTTTATAAATAACGTTCCTTTTTTTTTAATTAAAATTATTTTTTTTTTCCTTTAGTTGTGAAAATTTTAATACATAGAAAGCGAAAGCAAGTTTGTTATAAACAATTTATTATAAGCAGCATATTATTTTTTTTCTAAATTTTTTTTTTCTATTTAGAGGGTTAAAAGCTAAATATTCTGATATGTTTCTTTTTTTTTTTTTTATTCGATTACTTACGGAATGGCAGATGCCTGACATTTAATAGTGTCCGCGATATTTTGTTCAGAGTAGAGTCCGATCGGTGTATTGAATTGCTTATGCACAACCTGTCGAACAAAATCAATTGAAACGTGAAGCGTTAGAAAATTTTTGTTCCAAAAAAAAAAACGAAATTTTTGTTAATTTTCTTTTTTAGAAATATTAGAAAATTACAAATTTTTTTTTTTAACTGTCATGGAGAATTAAATTTTTAACAAAATTTTAAATCAATAATGAAACGTTATTTGATTAAGAAAAATAAAATAGTTTATTGATGATTAAATATTGAATATGTGCGATAAATTTTTTGTATTTTTAACATTTTTTTTTTAATGTAAAGAATCTGATTGGTTGATTCTGTTGTCACTGTTGCCACGTGACTCTAAAATTGACCAATAAAATTGTGCACATATTCGATACTATCGAATTAAGGTACGTACACAATGCAAAATTGTGTACGTGCCTTTAGAAGAAGTTTTAAGTCTGAAGGACAGTGAATTAAAAAAAATTACAGTCAGTTTGCAGCGTCAGTTTATTAAAGAAACAGGCAGTCAGCACAAAAAATTTCTCAAGTCACACAAAATGTAATAAATTTATAATATTATTATTATTTTATTGTATAATTATTTTTTTTTATGTAAATTTTCAAAATTCACTCGACGGCTGGAGTACATCAGCTTCATCCTGTGTTTTTATTTATATTTTTTCTTTTTTTAAAAAGAAAAAAAAATCTATTGAAAATTAGTAATTATATGATGAAATATATATATATTAATTAATACTTTGAATGGCTCACGATGAATTTCGATGATTGATGTGTGTCACTGCAAGTCAAGAAGCAGGAATAATACTCTGAATAAGGATAAAATAATTCATTTCCTGTTTAGTAAATATAATATGGGTTAATTATCATTTTTTTTCTGATTTTGAAAATATTTTTCTAGAGAAAAAACCTTTTTTTGTATAGGGAAAATGAAATTTTTTTTTTGAATTTGAAAAACCCGCCACGACTGACGCCCAGTTTTATTCAATTTTATATAAATAAAAGTTTGCATTCCCATCCCTGATCTTAAGATTGGCACAAAAAAACATTCGCGAACCGTTGTTTCATGAAAACGCACCTTAAGGGTTTTACTCTTTTGGACAAAAATACACAAATTTGATTGGTTCATACAATAGAAAATTTTTCGTACTTTTGAGACTATACGTGGACAACGAATCAAGTTTTTGGTTGATTTCCATTGTCCCCACTCGCCATTTGTCATAATTCTCGTCAACTACCGCATCCTGCTTTAGTAAAAATTTAGTAACTTTTAATTTTAACAATAAAGTTACTTAATTTTCACTAGAGCAGGGTGCGGTAGTTGACGAGAATTACGACAAATGGCAAGTGGTGACAATGGAAACCAACAATTTGTCCAAATGTAAATGTACCTTAAAGGTGCGTTTTTATGAGAAGCATGAGATAGAGAAGGACAGATACGTTTCTATCCTTTTCTATCTCATGCTACATGATTCTATAAATTGAATTTAAAGATATTTATTTTAAAAATAAATAAATATAGAAATAAATAGAAAAATAGAAAAATAAATGTAGAAATAAATAGAAAAATACATATAGAAAAAAATAGAAAAATAAATATAGAAAAAAATAGAAAAATAAATAAAAAAAATAAATAGAATTTAAAAATTTATATATGGAATTAATGATAATACCAGATACGCCTTTAAAATTCTGGTGGATAATGAATGATAAAATCGCGTAAGCTTTTTTTTTAAATATGATGCAAAAGCACTTATAAAAAACAGTTTTTCTTTTTGTCAAACCTTAGGCAATTCATCGGGTCCCAAAACACGCTGTAGAACCGACTCAGCCACCTGATGAGATTCGTATTTTTTGTTTTTGAAAAAAATTATTATACTCTTTTAGATATATTATGAAAAAAATATATAATATATAAATATAAAAAATATATAATATATAAATATAAAAAATATATAATATATAAATATAAAAAATATATTTACAAAATACAATGCAATAAATGTTGAAAGGAAAAATATTTTTATTAATATACAATTCGCCTTTTTCTTTTTTCGTTAAGAAAAAAAGGTTTATAAAAATAGTTCCAGTTTCTGAATTTTTTTTTAATATTTAAAAATACCGCGCATTTTTTATTAGGAATTTTCTCATTAGGATCTCTAATTTAATTTTGTTGATATTTTTGTGTTAACAAATTGATTTCATTGTGGAGACAGCTTTAATTTCAACGGAAAAAAGGAAAACTTGTTTCTGATTGGTTGGTAATATTTCCAACAAATTAGAAACGAGTTTTCCTATCTATTGAAATTATTGTTATTCATGGTTTGAAGTTACATCGTTCAATGAAGTATCAAAGTTTGTATTAACGTTTGTATTTTATATTAATTGCGATTTACATTAATATTAATTTAAAAAAAAAATTTGTTAAATTTAATCTATTGTTTATATATTTATTTTTTTTGAAATATCTGACAAAATTATATTATATATTGGAATTTATCACTTGGTAAAAAAATTTTTTTATTTTTTTTTATCTGACAAATTTTGTTAAAAGCTAAAAAAAGTTAGGTTAGAAATCTCGATGTTGAATTTTCTTTATTATAGTATTTTAGATTATTTTATTTACATTTAATTTTTGAAATTATAGTTTTTTTAAAAGAATTTTTGCCTAATTTCTTTTTATGAACGAAAATAAATAGTAATAATATATTTTACCAAAATAATTTAACGGAAAAAAATTCGTGAAAAGGTAATAGAAACAAAAACGCGGGAAACATGAGAGTTGGAAAAGGACAAAAAATATGTCTGTCTCTTTCTAACTCATACCAATATTTCGATTTTAATAACTTTAATAATTTTTTAATTAAAAATTTCATTTTCATGGAGGAAATAAATAAATTTTTTCATATTAAAAATTAATTATTATTTATATTATTATTTTCCATATTAAATTAAATATTAAAAATTAGATATTTTTAAAAATATTAAAAAAAATTCGAAAATTTCGAGAAAAAAAAATTTTTAGTTCTAATTTTAAGAAATTTAGAAATTTAATTTAGAAATAAATTTTTAAAAAATGAATGAAACAAATAAATTTTAAATAAATAAATTGGAATAAAAAATTGATTTTAAAATATATAAAATTAAAAGGGGAAATTTTAAAAAAAAATTATATAAAATTTTTTTTTGTATTTAAAAAATTTATTTATTTATTTATTTAACAAAATATAAAAGAAATAAAATTTATTTTACAAAATATTATAAATTAAAAGGGGAAATTTTTGTAATTTATATATAATTTAAAAAAAACAAAATTAAGAAACTGGAAATATTTTCATTGCCTTTTTAACAAAAATGCAGATTTACAATATAATTTTTTTTTTTTTTTTTTATAATGTTATAATTTGTTCACTCACTACTGGCGAGATATGATATTTAAATTTACGTACTTTTTGTTTCATAGCAACTTCGGGATGTGCAATCTCATAATGATGTGGTGCTGCTCTTATCATCGGATTTGGATGATGACGTAGATAGCATTCACCAAGGGGGGCATCTTTTTTTATTTTTGCTCCTGGCAAAACAAGGGGGGTCGTTCGATAAGGCTGAAATCAAAAAAAAATTTATTCATTTTTTTTTTTTTTTTAATGAAAAATTAATTTTTTTCTTGATTTTCAAAATTATTTTTATTCTAAAATTAAAAAAAAATACAATTTAACTTTTTAAATGTATAAATTAACATTTACATTTTTAAATTTATTTTTTTTATAAAGGAATAAAAATAAGTGGGGAAAAATAGTATTTTAATTTATGGGGAAAATTACCATCACAAAAATTATGTTTTTATTTTTAATTTTTTTTTGAAATAAATCCAAGTCACTTGGATTAATTACAGGATTATCAAATATGAATTAATTTTTAAAGGGCACAAAGTAGCGATTAATAATTACAAATCGGATTTTCCTTAATGAAACTAAGAACAGCAGTTAAGAATGATTGAAGTGATTGACCAAAAACATAAAAAAAAAATGCAGAATTACTCCTGTACATCATATTTAGCGTTTCACATACTTTCAAAAATATTTTTTCCCTTTGATATTTTGCAATTAAAATTGAATTGAAAAAGTTACAGAGCTTCAAATATCAAAAAGCAGCAAAAAATTCGAAATTTTTATTAAAAATCAAAGTACATTGAAAGAAAATAAATTTAGTTCACAAAATAGACATATTCTCATCCCAAAGCACTCAAAAAATATGATAAAACTAAAAAATAGCTAAATTCCTTAAAAAATTACTGTATATACATATAAAATTATATTTTTTTTAATGCAAAATCCAAAATTCTGACCAAATTATCTTGAAACCTATTGCCTCTAAAAATTCGGCCTCATAAGCTTTTTTTCTCACAATTTACCAAGTTACAACTTTGCTATACAACATTTTTCTCTATCTTTTAAAGTTTTCGAGATTATTTTTTGTCTTTTATTAAATATTTTTATTAATTTTATTAATAAATATTTCGAATAGAGGTTGATGACCAAGAGATTAAATATAATTTCAAGTCACTCATGCCAAATGGGTGTCAATTACCCTATGTCAATGATGAAATATTAAAAAGAGAAAAGAAAAAAAAAGAAATTAGGGTTAAATTTAAATCGGATGATCGCCAATTAATCAGTGCAAGCGCGGACTCAATTTAATAATTTCTCTCTAGACACCTACGCATAAACTACAAAAATAAATGATTTTGATAGTAGTCCATTATACAGATGTTGCCTTTTTGCCCGAGGTCTGCGATTATTTTGTTTTTGAAAATTTTTAACTCGAATTTCTTTTTTTTTTACATTTCAGTTTAATTTTAAATTCAAAAATTGGTAATTTAAATGAAAATTTGAATTTAATTAAAATTAAAAAACGAAACTAACTACTTTAAAGGGGTTAAAAGAATTATTTTTCTACAATTACATACTGACTTCTTAGACAAAAAGGAATGGAAATTTAAAAAATTTTCTTTTGAAATTAACTTTTAATTGCCATTTACATTGTTTTTTGTGAAGATTTTTGAAAATTTGGCTAATAATAAAAATTCCTAATGTCAAGAAGTCTGTGTAAATATATATATATATTTAATTAAGGAAAATTACATAAATTTGTGTGTGTGCTTTTTCAATTGAAAGGTTTGGCAAAGACATACTTTTGCGTTTGTTATGTCATACATTTTCAATTGCGCACACACGATTCAATATGTTGAAACTTTCGTGATATGCTCAAAGAAAATTTCTCGCATTTAAGATGCTCCACTAAACTTGCAAGTTCGCGTGAAATTGGGACAAACTTTTTGCTATAAAGATAAAAACATTCTACTGCAAAGTTAAAAAAAAACATTTACAAAGGCAACGCGGTTAAATTTTTTTTTAAATTCCCTCGATCAAGAAAAAATAATTTCAAAAACGAAAAGTATTTTTTTATGTGATGGAAATTAAATTATAATTTTTAATTAATTAATTATTTTAGTAAATATGTAAAATTATATCCTATTAGAAAAATGACAACAAAAGCGGTTGGAAATAAAATTTTCATTCTTTCTAAGAAATTAGAAAAGAGGGGAAATTATTTCCGACCATTTTGGTAATCAATTTACATACTACAAAAAATGTAAATTAACACACTAAAGAAGAAGAGATACAACTGGTATTTTCATCAATTAGACATTCACAAGGAAATATTGTTGAACGAATACGTATAATTTTTTTTTTACCAAACAAAGCATTTTGGAAAAATATATTTTTCACCAATTCCAAAAAAAATATGGATTATGATACAAAACTCGAATTGGCTTATTTATAGAAACAAATTTTATATAAATTTTTATTTTATTTTTTGAACAAAAAATTCAATTCTTACTTTCGGAAATATTTGGAAATCGGGTTTTTTCGTTATTCGGAAAATTAATTAAGACGCTAAATTTTTTAAATTCATTTATTAAATTCCCCCGGTTAAAGAATTACTTTTTTTTCAAAATATAGCCGTTTAATAATAAAATTAGAATTAAGGAATTAATAAATAAAGTTAATTTAATAAAAAGTAAATTCGGTTTAAATTAAAATCTATTATCATTTATTAAAATCGCAATAAACATTTAACGGGAACTTTAAAAGCCGCTAAAATGACATTTTTAGCTAGAGAGCTTGTCAAGCATTAAGATTGAGAGGCAACACTTGGTCGTTAACGATCCTTTTTAGATTTCCGTCTACGTAAAGTGCTTCCGGCTTTTTGAGACAAAAGCATCGGTTTATATAGAATTTTCGCGATTAGTCGTAGAAAAAAAAGAAAGAAATATATATATATATGTATATAAATGCTTAGTTATAAAATTGCTTGAGAGATTTTGAAGGGCAGGGCTAAAGTCTATTATTAAATCTCGACAAATCGCGCCGCGCTGTTTCATTTTGCATCGTCGCATTATATATATATATACACCTAATCTCAAGAAAATGTAGCTTTAAATTTTTTTTAAAAATTATTTAATAAAATTCCCTTCCTCTTTTTTTTCTCGTCAAATAATAATAAATGAGTGATATTTTTTTTTTTTCCCCGGAATTTCATTATAAATAGGTCAGGTACATTATTTTGTGACAAGAGTTGTATGTGTGGAAGCTGCGTCGCGACTCGAAATAGATGAAGGCTTCGGTGGGCAAAAATAACGCGCACTTTGCGATCAAGTTGCCATCCGTTAAACTCCATTTTCCATAATTTTTTTTTTTTAAACCCCTTCCCCCCCCCTCTAACGACACTCGTCACGATTGCGTCGATTTAAATGAAAAAAAAAAAAAGAAAAAAAACTTCTGTAGGTCAAGTTTCGAAGGTCAGGTTCCACAACCTAAATTCCGTCTTCTTGCGGTGTTTTGAAATCTCTATTTTTTTTATATTCCAAAATTATTATTTTTTTTGCATTTAAATATATATAGTTGAAAAGCATAAGAAAATTGTTTCAGGAAATTTATAATCGGAAAATGAGATCAAGATTGATTTAATGTTGACAGACAAAATGTTTATCCGCATTTCTAAATATTCACTTGACACTTGTTGGTAAATCAAAAATTTTGTTACAAAACTGTTTGGAAATAAAAAATAAAAAAAAAAAAAAAAAAAAAAAAAAATATTAGAAAAATAAAAAAACAAATTTGGCTCAGATAATATAATTCTAGCTAGAGAAAATTTTTGGCAAAACATATTCATCGCATAATTTATCAAAATGATTATACGCAAAGTTTGAATCATTGTGACGAAAATGTTTTATTCGAAATAACTATCTAAATTTTAGAAGCATTTATTATTATTATTATTATTATTATTATTATTTATTTATTTATTTTGTAATTTATTTAAAAATTATTTTCCCTTAAAAAAATGTTTCATAATACGAAGATAATAAATTAGAAATACAATAGATAGTAAAATAATAAATTGACAATTTAGTTACATGAATATAATTTTTTTAAATTTTACGAGTTATTAGGCCAAATATTTTTAAGCCTAGGGAATACTATTTTTCGTTCTAGTAAGTAAAGTAGCCTTTTTTTAACCCTAGGGAGTAAAATACCCTTTTTTAACCCTAGGGAGTAAAATACCATTTTTTAACCCTAGGGAGGAAAATACTCTTTTTAACCCTAGGGCGTAAAATAGTATTTTTTAACCCTAGGAAGGAAAATAGTTTTTTTTTAACTCTAGGAAGTAAAATACTCCTTTTCAACCCTAGGAATTTAAAGGTTTATAAGATAAAAAAAACAAAGAAAGGAAAAACAGTTGAAGCAATATTAAATTCTCAATGTTCTCTTATAGAAATAATTTTTTATACAGAAAAAAAATTTGTTTTTTAAATTTAATTTTCCAATATATATATTTTTTTTACTTCTTTAAAAAGATTACAATTAATTTTTTTTTTTCTAAAACAATTTTTTTTAATTATAAATTTAATGAAACAATTTCCTTTTGGTTTAATGACCGATGAGGAAAACAGCAAATCTATTTGTTTACTCCAATAACGTTTAGTAATTTTTGGCAGCAGTCGTTCACGTCAGAGTTGAATTATTGCGAAACAAATTTGAGAATTGAAAGTATTTTTGTAACTATTTCATAATTTTTTTTTTCTCTTAACAAAAGTAAAAAAAAATTTTTAAAAATTTATCTTTCTGTTTTGATTTAGAGAAAAGGAAAATTACATTTTGAAAAAAATTTACTCTTAATTAATTTTTTTTTTTTTTTCTAAAACAAATAAAATCTTTCTCAGATTTATTGACTTTTTTTTAATACATAAATCTTTTGTGTATAAAAAAAAAATGTTTATTTCTAGAATTTGAAGTGTTGAATTTTAACTTTTTCAAAAAAACGATACGTATTTAGAAAAATAATTTTTAAATGGTAATAATTTAAAAAAATGTTCTATTTAAATTCATCTTTAAAAAATAATGAAAACAAATTTTTTTTTACATTACATTTTTATAATTAAAAAAAAAAGAATATTTCAAAGTTGAGATTTTTATTTACGAAAAAATTCGTTTTTTGTAATTATTTTTTCTTACTAATCGTATTAAAAATTTTCTCTAAAATTATTTTTGCTTGATATTTTTTTTTTGTTTTAAATAAATTTTTTGGGAAGTAAATTTTTGATAGTTTTAAATGTAATTCACTTTTTCTCGTTAGTTGATAGAAATTATTAAGATATTTTTGCAAATTTTTTTTTTATTATTATTTTTTTAAATTCAGAATTAATTTATTTGTAATTAACGCCTACCCAATAAACGGCAGCTTCCTCCTCTCTCGTTGTTCGTCGTTCCACGGGGAAACGATAAGTGTAAAGGGGCATTTTTTTTTTTTTTTTTTTTTTTCAAAGAAAACTCGTATTTTTCCGAAACTTAAAAAAAATAGAAGATTTCAAAATTAAAATATAATTTTTATTTTTATTGACAAAAAAAAATTTTTTTTTTTTGAGTAACGCACTGGTTAGGCGCGCGGGCGGAACTAACTCTGGCTCACGGCTTAAATTTCGAGCAGACTTGAATCTCTCAAAGCAAGGATATCTTACACCTACGTATATTATAATCCCCATCTCAAACGTTTTTATATGTATATACAATATCTATACTTTTTCAAAAAATTGAATTTAAATTCCCGCCAAGAAAAGAGCTAGAGATTTTTTTAAAAATATTAAAAAATTTTTTTTTTTAATTTAAAATTTAATTAAAATTTAAAATGATCAATTTAAATTTAAAAGTTAAAAAAATTAATTTTTTTTTAAATTTATAAAAGAGGAATTGAAAAAATTATGAATAAAAATAAAGGAAAACAATTGAAGAAAGAAAATAAAGAAAAAGAATTGAAGAAATTAAAAAAAAATGATTGAAGAAAGAAAATAAAGAAAAAGAATTGAAGAAATTACAAAAAAATGATTGAAGAAAGAAAATAAAGAAAAAGAATTGAAGAAAAAAGTTTAAAAAAAGGGAGAAAATAAAATTAAATAATTAAAAATAATTAAAAAAAAGAATTGAAGGAAATGCAATTAAAGAAATGAGTAATATTTAGTGAAGAGAAAATAATTCAATAAAGAAAAAATTATTTCCCACATAATTGGAAGAAAAATTATGACAAATTTGAATTCGTGAATAAGAAGAAGAAGAAGATGAAGAAAGAAGGGAAGAAACAAAAACAAGTCAAGGCTAATGTTTATTTTGGCAAACGTCATTTCTTTTAAGGTGTTTTTGGATGAAAAGCGAAACTCTAGCGATTTCCCAACTGTCAAGGTCATTGAAAAGATTCACATTTTCATATGTATATACATATATATATATACTTGGGAAAAATTTTCCTAAAATGAATAGCATATGCTTTAGAACTATATTTATTTTCTCTGCTAAGATTGTTAACTTGCATAATACTTCATGAAGCACCGAGAAAATTTCTTTTTCGACTATAACAAAAAAAAAAAATATTCCTTTGAAATTATTAAAATTAAAAAAATTAACAAAAAAAAGTTTTTTAAATAAAAATCTATAAAAGATTTTTTTAAATAAAACTCTATAAAAGATTTTTAAAAATAATAAAATAAAAAAAGAAGGTACAAATAATAAAAAAATAAAACTTAAATTTCAAAAATTAAAAAAAAATAAATAAGTAAAAAATTTTTTTTTTAAATTAATAAGTAATTAAATAAAAATAATAAAAATTGAAAAAACAATTTAAAAATTAATAAGTAAAAAAAAATAATAAAAAATAAAAAAACAATTTAAAAATTAAAAATAAATACAAATAAAGTAATCAAAAACAAAAAAATCAAATATACAAAGTAAAAAATAAAATTTAAATTAAAAATTTTTTTTTTAATAAAGAAAAATAATAATTAAAAAATTTAAAAGAATACAATAATAAATAATAATAATAATAATAAGTTTTGTCAATATTCGAAAAAAAAAATTGAATCGGAAAGTATAATTTTTATTGGACAAAATTGAATTTTTGAGAAATTGGAAAAAGATAAAAAAAAAAGAGTGCATTTTGTGTTTCGCGAGTCAAAGAATTGAGCAGTATCGAATCGAGGCGGTGATTTCGATGCAAAAGTTATATTTATAGCTTTGCAGACTGCCTCCACGTGGTTTTTCCGGCATCGATGCTTGCCAAGAAAAATATATTTGCAAAACTTCACTTTCGCGCGACCCTAAATCGATATTTTATATCGATAATTATTTTTGTTTATTATAATTTAATTTATTCAATTTTTTTTATATTGGCAACAAAAAAAGAAGGATGGAAAAGTAATAATAAATGAAAATAAAATAAAAATGATTAAAAAAAATATCATAAAAATTAAAAAAAAAAAATCAAAGTTGAAAAAAAACGAAATAAAAATAATAAAAATTAAAATAAAAGTAATAAAAATTAAAAAAAAAAAATAAAAAAAAATTAATAAAAATAAATTCTTTTAAATTAAATTAATAAAAATTTTATGAAAATTAATAAAAATTAAAATAAAAATAATAAAAAATTTAAATAAAATAAAAAAAAATAAATTCTTTTAAATTAAATTAATAAAAATTTTATGAAAATTAATAAAAATTAAAATAAAAGTTATAAAATTTAAAAAAAATTAAATTAAATTAATATAAAAATAAAATAAAAAATTATATAAATTAAAAAAAAATAAATTAAATTAATAAAAAATTTTTAAAAAAATTAATTAAAAATAATGTAACTTAAAAAAAAATTTAAAAAAAACAATTAATCTTGAAAAAGTTTTTAAAAAAATAATAAAATACCTGAGAAAGGTAAATCCTCTCCTCTCGTATTTCATCTAAATGTTCTCTCGCAAGATGAATATGTTCCGTACTCGATAGACTGGAGAAATCATCCTCAATTGGCGTTGCCGGTGGAATTGGACTTTTTGGCAAAATTTTTTGCTCCTGTGCCAATTTTGGTCTGGACGGTTCGCAAAAAATGAAAAAAGAAACCAAAAAAAAGAAAAAAAATATTTCACATTATCATAATGTATGTAATTTAATTTTTTTTTTGAGAAAATTACGCGAAGAATCTGCAAAGAGTCAGTATTTTGCCAAGGCATCAAAGACAATCAATTTTTTTTCAATTATTATTTTAGCAAGCATTGCGAAAAAGGGCTTAAGCGTATAATCGACAAAAAAAAAAAATTCTCAAGAAACAAAAATTTAAAAGAAGATAGTATTGGAAACAAAAATGAAATAAAGAAAATATGGAAATAAATTTTTTTAAATCTCAAAGGAAAAGAAATAAAAATTCTTAAATGAAATGAAATAATGAAGCATTAGTAATGGAAAATAGTAGAAATAAAAAATGAATTAACAAAAAAAAAATGATGAAATAAAAATAATTACACGTACAAATAGTTACGATAATTATAATAATAATTTATTTTTTAAAAAAAGAGCAAAGCAAGAGAAAAAGATTTTAATATCTTAGAAAAGAGAAAATTAATTTATAGCAGAAATAAAAGAGAAAAAAAAATGTATTCTAACAAATTTAAACCGTGAGCCCCATTATCATCAATGATTGATTTGAAAATCGATGATTGCGATGAATGATAATGAGATGTGTAATCTCTCAATGAATCAGACCTTTCGATGACAAGTCTTACAGACTCTGAATTTTTTAGCAGATTCTGGGCGTCAATGTGTCTCAAGTCCCGAACGTCGTACTCGTCAATTTTTTTGATCACGTCACCCTTCTGGAGGTCTTCGTTCTCCGACTGTAAAAAAAAGAGGGAAAACAAAATTATTTTTTCAACAATTCATTTATTATTAGAAAATAAAAAAAAAATTTTAATCTATTTTTAAATATTCGCTCCCTTTTTGTCATTTGACCAATCGTGATCGAGAAATTAAAATTTATCAAATTGTCAGCCAATAGGAATTATTCGCATTGTTTCGAGACTGTTGACTTTCATTTTCTACGGTTGGTAACAAACCTCCTATAGGGGAAAAATAAATAAGGGTTTTTTTTTGTGAAACTTCCCAGTCCTGATTAAGTCATCATCTTGTCAGGAGGTTAGAAATAAAAGTGTTACCTTTACTTAGAAAACTATTAAAAATTTTCCTTTTGACAAGGAATTAAAATATTTTTCTAGAGTAAAGGAACAAAAAAATTTTTTTAGTCTGATAACTTCAAAAAAAAAATACAGAACAATATTGTTCTGGTACGTCTAATCTACGAAACACTTTTCCAAACAGATCACTTTTTTTTATTTTGTCAATAGTAAATTTTTTTTCCTCATAATTAAAGCACTTAAAATAATTTCGGTAATTAAAAAATTAATTTCCAGTAAATATATTATTTATTATTGTATATTAATTATTATTATATTATTTTATTGTCCTTTAAATTCACTTGTAAATAGACGCAACCACCTGTATAGAAATTTAATAATTTTCAAACTAAAAACCAATTTTCATTTTTTTTTTTTATAAAAAAAAAGGTTATTATCAATCTCATTTGTTTTCCCACCTAGAAATTTATTTCGAATTCTAATTTTTAAAAACATAAAAAAATTTTTTATTTAATTTTTTCTATTCTATAAACTCACACGGGTGACGATGATCGGTGTTCCTAAATCAGCACCCCCGGCGATGCTGATACCCCACGGTTGACATCGACTTGGTCTCCGTAATTTCACGACCACGGTTTGTCTTTTCGTCATAATCTAATATTTAATTTTTAATTATCCCGTTGAAAAAAAAAATTAAATATATTTTTTTTAAATTTTCCCTAACAAACCCTTTTGAGAAAAAAAAAATTAAAAAAAAATATTGATTCACCGCGCGCGCTGAGGTTAAAGAAATTTTTGGTGGGCAATTTTTTCGACGATTGAAAAAAACCGTGACTGTAATCGGACGAAATAGAAACGACCACTGTTCGGGGAGCTTTGACTTTGACAGGCTTTAGCCGCAAGCTCGTTGCCCAACTGACTTCGAATCTGTTAGTGCCATTCTGGCCTCATTTCCAATTGGCATTCGTTGTATTGTTCTCTGACTTATACGACCTGCACTCGTTTTCTTTTTTATATATTTATAAATAAATATATATACATTTATGTACACATATTTTTAATGTGTCCCTCATATATAGCCAAAAGAATCGCCCATGAATTTTCAGTTTTCGTTATATTTTTCTTTTATTCGAAGGGGGAGGAAAAAAAAATTTTTTTTTTCAAACTGTTTTCTTAAAAAAAATTTTAATTTTTGTTCTGGAAATTATAATAATAATAATAATAATTAATAACTGCAATACTAATAATATAATAGTAATAATAAATAAAATAAATTGCGAAAATAATATTTGATAAAATTTTAGTAAAAATTAATTCTAAAAAAAAATTTGTAAATTAATTTTTATTTATAACAAATTTTCTATTTTTTTATTCTGTTTATTCGATTAAAAAATGAATTCAACATGAAAGAAAAAAATAATTTTTTCAATTCATTCGATTTTAAATTAATTAAAATAATAATAATAATAATAATAATAATTGTTGCTCAATACTTTTAAGTGATGTTTTTGGATAAACAAAACAAAAAAAAATCACGATGATCCTGTTTTGAAATAAAACCCTTCTGATTTACGAGCTGTTTAAATTTAGAGCTGAGGAAAAAGTTAATTTAAACTTTCTCTATAGTCGTGTGTGCTTCCCATCCAAACTGAGATCGATCTTAAAAAGACGCGCGGTGTCAATTGACTGTCAATCAAACGTCATTTAAATCAAATAGATGCAATTTAATTTTTTTTTTTACTTATTTTTCGAATTTAATTTAAAAAAAAAATTTTTTTATTTAAAACTTTTTATATTTATTAATTATTTATTTTATTACTACTTTTATTACTATTGTTATTATAATTTATTAGTACTGTTATTATTATTATTCTTTTTATTATTATTACTATTATTATTATTATTACTATTATTATTTATTATTAGGTTTTTTTTTATTTATTTACTATTTTTTGTACTATTCAGTTTTTTCATATTTTGTTTACTATAAAAGAATTTTTTTTTCCATTAATTTTAAAAATTAATTTAACTAATTTTTCCAACTTTAAATTATTATTTTTTGCAACTTTATATTTTAATATGTTAAATGAAAAGAAATTTATATAAATTAGTTTTGACTGAACGAGATTTATTAACTGAAAATTCATTAAACAATTATCGAATAATTTATTAATAATAAAGTAATAAAATTTATTAAATAATTTATTAATTAAACAAAAAATTACCAAAATATAATAGTTAATTAAACGGAAATTATTTAAATTTTTAAAATACAGTAGTTAATCAAAAGTAAAATCAGAAATTATTATTAAATAAATTTTATTAAATTTAATTAAATGGCATTAAATAAATTTTATTAAATTTAATTAAATGGCATTAAATAAATTTTATTAAATTTAATTAAATGGCATTAAATAAATTTTATTAAATCAATTAAATTAATGGTATAAAGTTCATTAATTAATTTATTTATTAGGTAAAAATTAATTTTACTTCATCTAAATAAAAATTTAGAAAAAATTAAACAAATTAAATTAAATTTACATCAAAATTAATTTTTTTTTTTTAAGAAAAAGGAAAAAATTTTATTTTGTAGTTTCCATAAGATGTATGTTTCATGTACTCACGTAGGTCTCATAGTAGTGCCCTAAGGAAAACCTCAGGGTCGTTCGCCTCCGCAGATCCGTTTTTGGACGATTTTCTTTTTCCAATCCACAGTCCACGTGAAATTGTTTGATAATATTAATTTAAAAAATTCTTCAATTCAAATTAAAAATATTTAATTAGAAAATAATTTAAAAAATTTTTTTTTTTTTCCCAAAAAATTTTTGAAATACAATTTTCCTCTTCCTTGAGAGGAGAACAATTTATCTACACAGCACTTTGTGTAATGAGTTTAAACTTCCAATCATAGTGGAAAAGAGAGAAAGAGAAAGTGCGAGTTGAGCGAGTGAGATAGAGACAACAATACTTAAATTAGCAACCTATAGTGGTAAAGGTTAATCAATTAAGAGAAAAGATTCTAATTAGATTGGAAGGCGGCAATTTGAAAATTTCGAAAAAAATTAAAGTAAAAAATTTTATGTTTAGAAAAAATAATTTAAAAACTTTTTTATTTTATTTTATTTATTTATTATTTTCCCCGTAGTAATTTTACTAATTACCCTTTTTCAAAAATTAAAAAATAATAAATACCTTAATTTTGTTTTTTAAAAACATTTTATTTATTATTAAAAATTATAAAAATGTTTCATTTTCGTCGTAAAAATTATTTCCAAAATATTTACGTTTAGTATTTATTATTATTATTATTACGAATAAATACTCGAGATTTACAAATAGTAAATAAATTCGTGGACAAATGAATTTTTGAAAAATATTTACAAAAAAAAATGGAGTGATTTGAATCAAAATTACAAATTTCCAACTGAAAAAATTACCGAACAATATTTTTATTTATTTTATAGACATTTATAGTCAAAAAATAGTTTTAACTTTTAAATCTAAAAATTTAAAATAGAATTTCTTTTCCAATAAAAAAACAAAAAATGTAGAAAAATATAAACAAAAATTGATAATTCAATTAAAATTTCAAGTCTAAATTAAAAAAAAAAACAAAAATTGAATTAAAAGTCCTTTTTAAATATTCAAAATCAGTAATTTTTTTTTTTTTTGCGGAAAATAAAACAAAAAAATTCTTTTAAAAAAAAATGAGAATTTTTTTTTTATTTCTCACTCATTGGTTTTGTCGATAATCGTGGAACAATATTCATTGATTGTAATTCTTGAAATAAAAGTTTACATGCATACGGTATTGTAATTGTCGAAACGCCGGCATTTCTTTTATCTTTATCTTGTTTTGATTCACAACTACGACAATGTCCACTGTAAACCATTAGGCCACAACCTTTACAAACATCAACTTCAAATGCATCACTCGATAACATTAATCTTTCAACAAGAAGATTACTTGCACCATATGCAATTAAACAATCGCGTTCCATTTCACCTAAACGTAAACCACCTTCTTTAGAACGACCCTCAGTTGGTTGACGTGTTAAAACTGCACGCGGTCCTCTTGCTCTCGCGTGCATTTTATCCTGTACCATGTGTTTCAATTTTTGATAGTACACCTTTAAAACAAAAAAAAAAAACAGAAATTTTTTTTTTTAAACATTCTCAACAAGAAAAAAAATTAAAAATTTACGTGCCTCAACTTTCGAAAACCAAAAATTAATTTGCTTCCAATTTTATATTTAAAAAAAAATTTAGATAAATAATATGAAATTAATAGTAAATTATTCTTACAGGTCCCGAATAAACATAAGCCTGCAATGGTTCACCAGTTGTTCCGGAATAAAAGAAATCTTTTCCGAGATAATTGTATCCTTGTTTTTCCAATTCATCGCAAACATCCTTTACTTTTGAGCCTCCAAATGCTGAAAATTGATTTTGTTTTTATTTCGCCCTTACGTAAAAAATTATTAATTACAAAAAAAATAGATATTACCGACACAGAAATCTACATTATCGACTGATAGTAAAATAGGAAAAATGAAAATATAACAAATTACCGACATAGAAATTTATATTACCGACTGATGGCAAAGAAAATCTTTTGAAAATGCTAATTTAAAAAATTACCGACATAGAAATCTACCTTACCGACTGATGGTAAGATAAAACCTTACCTACATTACCTTTACGTATGGTAAAACAGTTTTGAAAAAGTTGGTAAAATTTCAAAAAAACAATTTCTTACCATTAGTCGGTAAGGTAGATTTCTGTGCCGGTAATTTTTATACTTTCCTGTTTTACTATTAGTCGGTAAGGTAGGTTTCTATGTTGGTAATTTTTTATATTTTCATTTTCCTGTTTTACCATCAGTGGGTAATGTAGATTTCTATGTTGGTAATTTTTATAACAATAATTATTTATGAAAATTAATAATTATTAATAAAACTTCAATTATAATTTAAATTGTATATAGAAGAAAAATTTAACTCAAGGAGTCTAAAAAGTGGTCCGATGTAAGCGGGTATTTTAACACAGACTTATATAGGAAAATTCAAGGGACCGGAAAAAATCTGATGGGTTCGATACACGTGGGTATCACTGTAATTGAATTTTTGAGAATTTTCAATTTCTTTTATGAAACAGGAAAAAATACGTTAATCCGATATGATCTAGTAGCAAAAAATATAGAAAATACCGACACAGAAATCTACCTTACCGACTGATGGTAAAACAGTTTTTTTGAAAATTGAAATACAAAAATTACAGAGACAGAAATCTACCTTCCTGACTGATGGTACAGAAATTTTTTGAAAAATGAAAATATAAAAAATTACCGACGCAGAAATCTACCCTGCCGAATGATGTTAAACAATTTTTTTTGAAATTTTACCAACTTTTTCAAAACTGTTTTACCATAATTAAAGGTAAGGTAGGTAATGTTTCACTTTACCATCAGTCGGTAAGGTAGATTTCTATACCGGTAAATTTTTATATTTTCATTTTCCTGTTTTACCATCAGTTAGTAAGGTAGATTTTTATGTCAGTAATTTTTCATATTATCATTTTTCAAAAAAATTACCATCAGTCGGTAAGGTAGATTTCTATGTAAGTAATTTTTTTTATATTATCATTTTCCAAAAAAAAAATTAGTAATTGCTAATAAAATTTTATAATTCCCATATGTTCTAGTGGCAAGCATACCTGCTTTTGTGAAATTAATCGACAAAAAAATAAAAATAAAAATTACTGTTTTAAAACAAAAAAGAAATACATTAATCCGATATGATGTAGTGGCAAAAAATATAAAAAATACCGACACAGAAATCTACTTTACCGACTGACGGTAAAACAGTTTTTTAAAAATAAAAATACAAAAATTACTTAGACAGAAATCTACCTTCCCGACTGATGGTACAGAAATTTTTTGAAAAATGAAAATATAAAAAATTACCGACACAGAAATCTACCTTACCGACTAATGATAAATAAATTTTTTTTTGAAATTTTACCAACTTTTTTAAAACTGTTTTACCATAATTAAAGGTAAGGTAGGTAATGTTTCACTTTACCATCAGTCGGTAAGGTAGATTTCTATACCGGTAAATTATTATATTTTCATTTTCCTGTTTTACCATCAGTTAGTAAGGTAGATTTCTATGTCAGTAATTTTTCATATTATCATTTTTCAAAAAAATTATCATCAGTCGGTAATGTAGATTTCTATGTAGGTAATTTTTTTTATATTAGCATTTTCCAAAAAAAAAATTAGTAATTGCTAATAAAATTTTATAATTCCCATATGTTCTAGTGGCAAGCATACCTGCTTTTGTAAAATTAATCGAAAAAAAACAAAAATAAAAATTACTGTCTTAAAACAAAAAAGAAATACATTAATCCGATATGATTTAGTGGCAAGAATACCTATTTTTTATAAAATTCACTTACCAGTTCCATAATGAAATTCTCCCTTTAATACTCCCGCTTTACCAGCGATAATTTCAATTAATTTACCAACAGTCATCCGCGATGGAAAACCATGTGGATTCATAATAATATCCGGACAAATACCCTGATCATTAAATGGTAAATCCTGTTGTTCAACAATTAAACCCGTCACACCTTTTTGTCCATGTCGACTACTAAATTTATCACCAATTTCCGGTCTTCTTGTTTGTCTTAATAAAACTTTTAATAAAAATGAATTATCCTGAAAGCTTGATATCATTACTTTTTCAACATACGATGGTATTGCACCTTTATAAAGTACCGATTGTTCACGATGTTCAATTGGATTTTGTTGACCACCACCGCTAACATGTTGATTATTTGTTTCTTTTGGCACTGATTTATTAATCATTACTTTACGATTTTCAAGCATTTCACCTGGTGCAACAATACCATCCATATCTAATACATCATGTTTCCATATTGGTTTTTTTGTATTTCCATCTAACATTGGTCCAAGTATAATGTCATATGTCATATTTGGATAACGTTTTAATAAACATTTTGTATTACGATAAACTAAACAACGTCCAAAACCACGATCAATTGAATCTTTATTAATAACAAGTGCATCCTCAATATCATAACCACTATATGACATTACAGCAACAATTGAATTTTGTCCAGCTGGTAATTTATCAAAATTTATTAATTCAATTGTACGTGATTTTACCATTGGCGCTTGTGGATAAACAAGATTATACATTAATGTATCAATTCGATTACGTTGATTATAACCAATTGTACCCATTGCTTGTTTACCCATTGCACATTGATATGTATTACGTGGACTTTGATTATGATGGGGAAATGGTACAAGACCAGCGCAAACACCAAGTATTGTAAATGGTTCAATTTCCATGTGTGTTGTTTTTATATTAACTTGACTCTCGTCAAATGCAATATAACTATCGTTCTCTTCATTAACATCTAAATATTCAATTATACCTGGAAAAAATGAAAAAAATTAATCTGAATACGATTTTGTTTCGAAAACTGTTCTTACCTTCGTGTAAAAAATCTTCAAATGTTCTCAAACCCTGTTCCAATAGTTTCATATGTTCATTACGCAATAATGGTTGACCATTATTGACAATTAAATAAGGACGACATAATCTTCCACCGTCCGAACTTATGTGAATGCATCTGAAAAAAAAGAATTAATTTTTTATTTTATATAAATTCATAAAGAATTTTTTCTTTAGATAAAAATTTCTGTTTAGATAATAGAAAAATTTTAAATTCACCTAAATTTTGGTTGTGAATAAATTGAAACAAAACTGCTTATCCAACATTTTCTTCTTAATTTACGAAATATTCTTATCAATCTCTCATGATTTCTAACAACACCGAGTAATGTTCCATTTAATGAAACCATGTAAACACCATCTTGATGTATTTCTTCACCACCAAGCATTCCCGGATCTTGTACGCCAAGATGAAATGCAATTCTCGCTAAAGGTTCCTCTTCAACTTCAGTTGTAATGTGCGTCATTAATGCCAAATTTTTTACTAAACCGCAACCCTAAATTTGAATTAAAAAAAAAATAAATAAATTTTCTTTCATGCTGAGAATTTAAAAAATTCTACACTTCGAAGTGTAATTTCGAAAAAAAAAAAAAAAAATTACCTCTCCCTCAGGTGTATCACTTGGACAAAGCATTCCCCATTGTGACGCCTGTAATGAACGTGGACCTGAGACTTTTCTGCTTTTTTCAAATTGTGAATTCACTCTTGTCATCATTCCCAATGCGGATATATAGGAGAGTCTCGATAAAACTTGTGTAACACCGTGACGTTCCATTTTAAAACGTTTTATTGTCCAATTTCCCTAAATAATTTTTTATTTATATTTTTATTTTCAACTAGCAAAATTAAACGCGCCGCGTCAAATTTAGTATTTAATTGTTTGTTATAAAGAAATTAATATTAACAATAATAATTTAATTTATTAGAATATTATTACATATTAAATGATAATAATGAAAATTATATGTTTCGGATTATACGACTTTTTCCGACTTTTTTTTCAAAAATACGACTTTTATCGACTTATTTTAATAAAATGCGACATTTTTTTTTTACATTTGAAAAGAAAATGTAAATAAAATACATTTTTTTTTTTAGTATAAAATGTAGATCTTCTTCAGATCTTCTTCAATTCAATTATTTAACAAATTTTCAACTAAAATGATTCTTCACTAAATTAATTATTTTTAATAATTTTAATGAAATACATCACAAATTCAAATTATAATCAAAATTATTTTTCAATTAAAATTTTTATGAAATTTAACAATTGTTTATAATTTAAAACAAAAAAAATATCACAATAAAATTGAATTATTTTTTAAAAATTTCAATTCAAAATAAACATTATTACCCGAAATTTTAATTCAAAATCAATTAAAAATCCAATAATTATCCACAAAATTTTCAAATTTAAAATTTAATTATTTACCAAGTTTTCAATTTAAAATGAAATAAAATTCAATTATTTTCCAAAAATTTCTATTCAAAATTAATTATCCAAATTTTCAATCAAAAATGAACTTAAATTAAATTATTATCCAAAATTTCAATTAAAATTCAATTATTTCCCAAAATTTTCAATTCAAAAACAAATTAAAATTCAATTATTTTGAAAATTTTTAATTGAAATTCAATTATTTTCCAAAATTTTCAATACAAATTCAATTATTTTCCAAAAGTTTAATTGAAATTCAATTATTTTCCAAAATTTTCAATTCAAAATCAATTATTTTCCAAAATTTCAATTCAAAATCAACTAATATTCAATTATTTTAAAAATTTTCAATTCAAAATCAACTAATATTCAATTATTTTAAAAATTTTCAATTCAAAATCAACTAATATTCAATTATTTTCCAAAATTTCAATTAAAAATCAAGTAAAATTCAATTACTTTCCAAAGTTTCAATTTAATATTAATTGAAATTCAATTATTTTCCAAAATTTTAATTCAAAATCAACTAAAATTCAATAATTTTCCAATTTCAATTAAAATTCAATTATTTTAAAAATTTTCAATTCAAAATCAACTAAAATTCAATTATTTTGAAAATTTTTAATTGAAATTCAATTATTTTCCAAAATTTTCAATACAAATTCAATTATTTTCCAAAAGTTTAATTGAAATTCAATTATTTTCCAAAATTTTCAATTCAAAATCAATTATTTTCCAAAATTTCAATTCAAAATCAACTAATATTCAATTATTTTAAAAATTTTCAATTCAAAATCAACTAATATTCAATTATTTTAAAAATTTTCAATTCAAAATCAACTAATATTCAATTATTTTCCAAAATTTCAATTAAAAATCAAGTAAAATTCAATTACTTTCCAAAGTTTCAATTTAATATTAATTGAAATTCAATTATTTTCCAAAATTTTAATTCAAAATCAACTAAAATTCAATAATTTTCCAATTTCAATTAAAATTCAATTATTTTAAAAATTTTCAATTCAAAATCAATTATTTTCCAAAATTTCAATTCAAAATCAACTAATATTCAATTATTTTAAAAATTTTCAATTCAAAATCAACTAATATTCAATTATTTTAAAAATTTTCAATTCAAAATCAACTAATATTCAATTATTTTCCAAAATTTCAATTAAAAATCAAGTAAAATTCAATTACTTTCCAAAGTTTCAATTTAATATTAATTGAAATTCAATTATTTTCCAAAATTTTAATTCAAAATCAACTAAAATTCAATAATTTTCCAAAATTACAATTGAAATTCAATTATTTTCAAAATTTGCAATTTAAAATCAACTAAAATTCAATTATTTTCAAAATTTTTAATCCAAAATCAACTAAAATTCAACTATTACCCGAAATTTTAATTCAAAATAAATTAAAAATCCAATAATTATCCAAAATTTTCAATTTAAAATTCAATTATTTACCAAGTTTTCAATTTAAAATGAAATAAAATTCAATTATTTTCTACAATTTCTATTCAAAATTAATTATCCAAATTTTCAATCAAAAATGAACTTAAATTAAATTATTATCCAATTTCAATTAAAATTCAATTATTTCCCAAAAATTTCAATTCAAAATCAATTATTTTCCAAAATTTCAATCAAAAATCAACTAAAATTCAATTATTATCCAATTTCAATTAAAATTCAATTATTTTAAAAATTTTCAATTCAAAATCAACTAAAATTCAATTATTTTCCAAGCATTCAATTCAAAATAATTTAAAATACAATTATTTTCTTTAATTTCAAGTGGAATTCAATAATTTTCAAAAATTTCAATTTGAAATTCAATTATTTTCCAAAATTTCAATCCAAAATCAACTAAAATTCAATTATTACCCGAAATTTTAATTCAAAATCAATTAAAAATGCAATAATTATCCAAAATTTTCTATTTAAAATTTAATTATTTACCAAGTTTTCAATTTGAAATGAAATAAAATTCATTTATTTTTTAAAATTTCTATTCAAAATTTTATTATCCAAATTTTCAATCAAAAGTGAACTTAAATTAAATTATTATCCAAAATTTCAATTAAAATTCAATTATTTCCCTCAATTTTCAATTCAAAATGAACTGAAATTCAATTATTTTCCAAATTTAAAATCAAATAAAATTTCATTATTCTCAAAAATTTGAATTCAAATTTTTTGAAATTTAATAATTTCAATTATAACTCTAAGGAAATTCAATTATTTTTAACTATTTTAATAATATTCTTTGAAAATTCAACTATCTGAAACCATTTTTCAATTAAAAATGATTTTCAAATTATTGTATTTTGTCCTGATTTTCTAATAAATTTTTAGTGAAATCATCTAAAATTTTAATTACAAAACACTTAAAGTTTCAATTAATTTCAAAAATCTCAATTTTAAATCTTTAAAAATTCAATTAAATTTAAAAAATGTTTTCCCAAAAATTGTTTGATAAATTATTTTTAGTTCTGTAAAATTTAATAATTGTTTTTGAAAATTAACAATATCTTTTGAAATTTAATTATTTCTAAAAATTTCAACTTTTCAAATTTTTGAAAATAAATAATATTTCAAGTGTGATTTTGAATTAAAATTTTTTTTTTTTTGGTAATTTTATTTGATAATTTTTTTTTTTTTTTAAATTATAAACAATTATTAAATTTTATAAAAATTTTAATTGAAAAATAGTTTAAGATAATTGAATTTTGTGAAGAATTTTATTAAAATTATTAAAAATAATATAGATTTATTATTTTCTTAATTATTTGCGATTTTTAATTGTAACTTTTTAAAAAAAAATTTTTTAATTTATAATTTAATTTAAATTTGTGAAAAAGGAATTTATTCTTTTTTTCTCCAAAAAAAAAAAAAAAAAAAAAAAAGAATGTACAAAAAATCTACTCACAGTTGAAATTGCAAAAGCCAAACCACTCGTTATTTTGTCCTGTCGAAAGTATTTCACAATATCAAATTGTGCGGCTTTTATTTTTGGTATATTTTTGTCAGCCACTGTTTTCAACTAAAATTTTAAATGGAAAAAATATTAATAATAAATAAAAATAAAAAAGAAAAATAATAATAATAAATAATAATAATATAATAATAATAATAATATAATAATAATAATAAACAATAATAATAAAAAATAATAAAAATATTTCGAGGTCTTTAATATTTTTCATTATTATTAATTTTTTTTCTAACTGTTAAAGGCCTGGAAAAATTTATTATCAAAAAATTAATAAATAATAATGTAATTTTAAAATACAATATTGGAAATAGCTTTTTTTTTTTTAATTAATTTTTTTCTTTTCTTACCTCCCAATTGAATCTTTTGAGAAGATCTTCGAACATGAGAGCAAGCAAAGAGCCAGCCAATTCTAAACGTTTATTTCCATAATAATCGCGATCGTCCAATAAACTACGATCATTTTGTGCCATTATCACTTTACGTACCATTAAAGCCAAATGAACGGCTTTCAATTTAAAACTAAAGTCCACGACCTAAGAAGGAAAAAAAATTTTTTTTTTTTATTTTAATATTTAAATTTCTACGAAAAGAGAAAAAAAAAGTTTTTTTTTTTGCAAAATTTTCATTCACAACTTACCGGAACGTGAGACAATAAATTTGTCGCCAAAATATCTTTCATTTCATCGTAGAGATTCGATTTTACAACATTAAATCTTTTTTGTTTTCGTTTGCTACTTAAATAACTGGAAAATAAGAAAAGTAAAATTAAATTCGAAAAAAACATAGATACATAATTTTTTATACAAAATTAAATAAAAAAAAAATTGTATAATATTTATTTTTTAATTAAATTAGTAATAAAATAATAAATTTTTATTTAAATTTTCATAAAAAAAATTTTTCTTTTTGTAAAATTAAATAAATAAATCAAATAAATAAATAAATAAATACAAAATTAAATTTAAAAAAAAAATTGTAGTATAATATTTATTTTTTAATTAAATTAGTAATAAAATAATAAAATTTTCTTTAAATTTTCATAAATTTTTTTTTGTAAAATTAAATATCAAGAAAAATTGTAGAATATTTATTTCTTTAATTAAATTAGTTATTAAATAGTAAATTAAATAATGAATAGAAATTTTTTTTTTAATTTTGATTCAAAATTTTAAATTTTTTTTCTGTAAAATTAAATATCAAAAAAAAATTGGAGAATATTTATTTTTTTAAGAATTAAATTAGTAATTTTTGTAATAAGGAAAAAAGATTTTTTTTTCCTTACTATAAAGCTTCATTTTGCGATTTAATGTCCTGACATTCGTCTAAACTTGCTGACAATTTCTCACTTATATTGTCCTCAGTGCCAATCATTTGTACAATTTCTTGATCGCATTGAAAACCCAGGGCATTAAAAACTGCGACAATCGGCACATCCTGAGAAAAGAGATTTAGAAAAAATTTTTTTTTAAATTTTCATTTTATGGAAATTCAATTGTTATAATTATTATCGAGTCGAATTTTTAATTTGTTCGAATTAGAATTTTTCATTCAAATTAATTTAAAATAAATTAAATTTATTATTTTATTTATTTAATTTATTATTATTTATTTTATTTAAATTAAATTAATTTATTTTTTTTTAAATTCCTCAAAAAACAAAGAATGACTTACATCTGAAAAAATGTTGAGTCTCACATAATATTTGCCACCTTTGCCAATAACATTTGTACGTGTTTTTCTCTCATGTGTAACACTATTACAAATTGCGACAATACAATTTTTACTATCCTCCTCAAGTAATATACGATTTCTTAATAATTGTTCTTGTATTAATATTACTTTTTCCTGTCCATTAATAATAAAATAACCACCAGGATCGTGTGGACATTCTTTTAATTGTGCCAATTCATAATGTGATTTATTTGTTAATACACAATTTGAACTACGTAACATTATTGGCATACGACCGAGAAGTAAATTATTTCTTATTATTGTTTCATGACCGCGTGTATATTGTATATCAACAGTAATTGGCGCTGAATAATTTAAATCACGTAAACGACAATCCATTGGTGTTGATGGACATGAGCCATTTATTCCCTCTTCAATATCAGGTGTTCCCACATAAACGTTTAAATATCTAAGCGCAAAAAGAAAATTCGTATTTTAAAATTTCTATCGACTAATTTTTTTTTTTTTTTTATTAAACTATTAGTAAATAATTTTATATTTTTAATTAATTATTATTAATTGTTAATTAAATATTTTCAGGCCTCGGATCGACTTATGGGCACAAAAAAAAGTCGGAAAAATCGATTTTTTTTTTTATTTTAACAAAAACATTTTACAGATTTTTAAATAATTTTTTTTTTAAATAATAATACTTTTGAAAGGGTTAAAGTTGAAATTTTTAAAAATAATTGAATTTCAAAAGATATTGTTAATTTTCAGACAATAATTAAATTTTACAGAACTAAAAATAATTTATCAAATAATTTATCAAATAATTTTTGGATAATATTTTTTAAATGTAATTAAATTTTCAAAGAGATTTACAATTGAGATTTTTGAAATTAATTGAACTTCAAGTGATTTTTAATTAAAATTTTTTTTTTCACTAAAAAATTTATTAGAAACTGCAGACAAAAATACAATAATTTGAAAACCATTTTTAATTGAAAAATGCTTTCAGATAGTTGAATTTTCAAAGAATATTATAAAAAATAGTTAAAAATAATTAAATTTCCTTAGAGTTATAATTGAAATAGTTAAATTTGCAAAAAATTTTAGAAATAATTAAATTTTAGAAGCTTTTAAATTCAAAATTTGTTGAAAATAATTGAATTATAATTGAAATTTTTGATAATAATTCAATTTTTAGTTGATTTTTGATTGAAAATTTTAATAATAAATAATTTTGAGTTGAAATTTTTGAGAATAATTGAATTTTAGTTTATTTTTAATTGAATTTTAATTAAAAATTTTGATAATAATTAATTTTGAATTGAAATTTTGGATATTTATTGAATTTTAATTGATTTTGAATTGAAGTTTTGGGTAATAATTGAATTTTATTTGATTTTAAATTGAAAATTTGTAAAATAATTGAATTTTAAAAAATTTTGAATTGAAATTTTGGAAAATAATGTAATTTTACTTTAAATTTCGGTTGAAAATTTTGATAATAATTAATTTTGAATTGAAATTTTGGATAATTATTGAATTTTAATTGATTTTGAATTGAAATTTTGGGTAATAATTGAATTTTAGCTGATTTTTAATTGAAATTTTTGAAAATAATTCAATTTTATTTGATTTTAAATTGATTTATGATTTTGAATTAAAATTTTTTGGTAATTTTATTTGATTGTTTTTAAAATTATAAATAATTGTTTTAATTTTATAAAAATTTTAATTGAAAAATAATTTGAAATAATTTAATTTGTGAATTGAATTTCATTAAAATTATTAAAAATAATTAATTTAGTGAAGAATGTTAGTTAAAAAATTTGTTAAATAATTGAAATAAAGAAGATCTGAAGAAAATCTGCATTTTATATTAAAAAAAAAAATATATTTTATTTAAAAAACTTTTTTAAAAATGTAAAAAAAAGGTCGAAATCGTCGCATTTTATTAAAATAAGTCAAAAAAAAGTCGTATTTTTTAAAAAAAGGTCGGAAATAGTCGAAAAAGTCTTATAATTCGAGGCCTGTATTTTTCATTTTTATATTTTTTAATTTATTCATTATTTACTTTTCTTTTTTCTCCATTTTTTTTAATTGTAAATTTTATTTTCTGTTCTAAAAAAAAATTAAATTTTCTTTTATTTATTTAATACGTTAATTTTTTTTAATTTTTAATTTAAATTTAAATTAAAATTTCCGTTTCCAATTCTTTTTGCCCAATTCTGGATGTATTATTTTTTTATTATTAAACAAGTAGTAAAAATTAAAAAATTTTTAAAAATAGTTTGAAAATTTTAAATTCAAAAATTAATTAATTTGAAAATTTTTTAGTTTTTGTATTTATTTTCTTTTTTTTTATATTATTTTTTGAATTTTAATGCAGTTTTAATTTTTATATATTAATTTTTAAAAAAAAATTCCGTTTCCAGTTCTTTTTGTCCAATTCTGTCTTTGCTGTGTTTAAATAAAAATTTCAATTATTTATTTATTATTACATTTATTTTTCTTTTTTCTATTAAACTAAAAAAAAATTATTATAATTATTTTTTTTATTTAATATTCTAATAAAATTATTATAAAAATTATTATTATAAAATATAAGATTGATTTATATTAATATATATATTTAAATTTAATAAAATATAAATTTTTTTGAATTAGAAAAAAAAACAAAAAAAAAATTAAATAAATTTCTTACTTGAGATAAAAATCAGGATCAGCATCACTGAAAACCATTTCATTTGTTTGAATGATTTTTTTCACCTCAACATTAATGAAATAATTAAATGAATCAATATGCTGACGAACTAATCCTTTGCCTTTTAAAAAAGCAGGAACCAATTTCCATTTATCCTGAAAAAAAAAATTTACTTAATCGAAAGAAAAAACACGAAAAAATTTTTTCGTTTAAATAATTAAATATATAAAAAATAATTATTCCTAACCTATAAATCGTAAAAAAATAAATTTTTTCCCGAATATAAAAACACATTTTTTTTTTTAAAATATAATATATTTATTAATTGATAATTAAAAGAAAATTATATTTTAACGAATAAAATTTATAATTATATATATATATCAAAATTTAGAGAAAATTGTGAGTGTAAATTTTGTTTTCTAACCTAAAAAATGGAATTTTTTTTATACTTACCGGAATTGGTGGAATTTGTATAACTTTATAATATTTTTCCTTTGCTTTATCGGCGTCGGAAAATTTTTTCTTCATATCACCCATTATTTGTTCTTTTTTTTTTTTAAATAAATATCACTAATTTCTTTTCTATATCATTTGGAATTAAATGCCATATATATATATAAATAATAGTTGCGCACGTGGTTTTTTAGTCAATGCGCGTCAAACTTGTTTTGATTCGACTGCGCATGTGCTACGCGATATTTATAATTACGCGGGAAAATTCAAAACCGTTTCTTGGTAAATTATTACCAAAAATTATTATTCTTATTACTATTATTATTATTATATTATTACTATTATATTATTATAATTATTATTATATTATTACTAATATATTATTATTATTATATTATTGTTATATTATTATTAATTAATTAATTATAACTAGATTAGGAAAATTTTTTTTTTCAAAAATCAAAAAATAATTAACAGGCGTCAGTTTAAATTTTGATTATGTTTAAAAACTGAATCACTGCGCCATCTTTAGTTCATTAGATATAATATAATTTTTTTTTTTTTTTTTCGAAAATGGCGATAAAATCCTGTATGTGTAGCACGTGTTTCCGGCATTAAAGTATCATTATTAATTTTCAACAAAAAAATATTTTTCTTCTATCTTATTTTTAGATATTTATCGAGGAAAAAAAAAGTGTTTATAAAATGTATCAAAAAAAAGTTGTGAATTTTAGTTATCGCACGTAAAAATCTATAGTGTCAGTAATATTGTAGTTTCTCGTTGGAAGTTAACCTTAAAGAAAACAAAAAAAAAAATTCAGAAATGTTTTGCTCGTCATAAATTATGTCAAAAGTGTGTTAATGTTCTCGTCATGTGGTAAGATTTTTATCTTAATTTATATTTAATTATATTCTACATAAATTGGGAAATTGACGCCATTTTTAAAATTTAATATTTTCGATTTAGATAAAAAAAAATTTTTTAACCGGCTTCTGATGATTTTTTTTTTATTTAACGGTTTTGATTTTTTTTTTTTGAAATTTACGACTTTTAAAAGATTTTTTTTTCTAATTTTCCCAGTATTTTTAAAAATTAAAAGTTTTTTTTTTGGTTAAAACCAAAAAAAACAATCCAAATTTATGGTTTTTGCGATTTTCGGGTAAAATATGCAAAATTTTCAAAAAGTGTATAAAACATAAAAAATTTATTTTAATAAAATCTAAAATTTTCATTTAAATTATTCTTCAAAATTTTGCAAATTTTACCCAAAAATCGCAAAATGCCATAATTTTTAAATTTTTTTTACGGTTTTATCTGTGAAAATTAAATTTTTTGATTTTTTCATTGTGATTTTTGTAATAAGGGCATAAAAATACATAAATATACATAGTAAAAAAAAAATAAAAATTCTAAATTTCGAAAATAAAAAAAATTATTTGTGGGTGTTTTTTTTTTTGTTTAATATAGTGAAACGTAAAAAAAGACGAGAAGAAAAAATTATCATGGATCAGGGAAATTTGAAAAATAATTTTGATTTGGTGCTAGCGCCATTTCAACCGACAACGCGTGTTGTTCTTGAGGTTTCTCTGAATAAGGAAAAAAGTACAACGAGTATTTTAAATGTGCGAAATCCCAGCAATAAGGAAATAACAGTGAGTTGTTAATATTTTCGATTTTTCTATTTTTAATTTTCAGATTGAATATTTAGAAAGGTTTTTGTTTTAATCATGTTTTTTAAATTTTTAAATATTTATTTTAAGAATTTTAATAATAATTAATAATAACAATAATAATAATTTTTTTTATAATTTTGAATATAGAAATTATGTTTATTTCAAAATTAAATATTACATTTTTTTTATTAATAATAATTATTCATTTTCAATTAAAAAAAATTTTTTTGCAAATATTTTTTATTAATAATTTTTTAATATTTAAATTAATTTTAACGTTTGTTCCTTATTTAATTTACTAATTTTCTCATTAATTTTGTAAATTAATTTTCAAAAATTTAATTTTTAATTTAATAAAAATATTATTTTGTTCATTTAGTTCTAAATATTATGTCCAATTTAATTTTCGTTACTGTTGATTTTAACTTTATTTTTGTATTGAAATTTATTATCAATTCAATACCAAACAAGTTGTAAATTCAGATGTTCATTACATGAACATTTTGCTTCCTCTTTACGATCAGCAAAAAAATTTGCTTCCTCGTGGAGAAAGCAAAATTTTATTGCCAAAATGTCAATTTTTGATTTTTTAACATTCATTAATTCTTTAAATTTACTTCAAATGTATACTTTATATATATATCGATCGATTCGTCTTGACGTAAGGAAAACGATTTTATTATATATAACCTTAAATTTTTCTATTTATAAATTTTTTCGATTAAAAAAAAATTTTTGGAAAAAGTCCCCAAAAAAATTCAATTTTTCTTAGGCAGACGATTTTAATGCATATTCTTGCACAAAATACTCCTAAAAGTGTAGAAAAAAATTGACAGCCAAATCCGAGTAGAGGAAGACACCTATTACCACCAAAAAGTCATCCAACCCGAAAATCCAAAATCCAAAAAAAGTCCCCAAAAAAATTCAATTTTTCTTAGGCAGACGATTTTAATGCACATTCTTGCACAAAATACTCCTAAAAGTGTAGAAAAAAATTGTCAGCCAAATCCGAGTAGAGGAAGACACCTATTACCACCAAAAAGTCATCCAACCCAAAAATCCAAAATCCAAAAAAAGTCCCCAAAAAAATTCAATTTTTCTTAGGCAGACGATTTTAATGCATATTCTTGCACAAAATACTCCTAAAAGTGTAGAAAAAAATTGACAGCCAAATCCGAGTAGAGGAAGACACCTATTACCACCAAAAAGTCATCCAACCCAAAAATCCAAAATCCAAAAAAAGTCCCCAAAAAAATTCAATTTTTCTTAGGCAGACGATTTTAATGCATATTCTTGCACAAAATACTCCTAAAAGTGTAGAAAAAAATTGACAGCCAAATCCGAGTAGAGGAAGACACCTATTACCACCAAAAAGTCATCCAACCCAAAAATCCAAAATCCAAAAAAAGTCCCCAAAAAAATTCAATTTTTCTTAGGCAGACGATTTTAATGCATATTCTTGCACAAAATACTCCTAAAAGTGTAGAAAAAAATTGACAGCCAAATCCGAGTAGAGGAAGACACCTATTACCACCAAAAAGTCATCCAACCCAAAAATCCAAAATCCAAAAAAAGTCCCCAAAAAAATTCAATTTTTCTTAGGCAGACGATTTTAATGCACATTCTTGCACAAAATACTCCTAAAAGTGTAGAAAAAAATTGTCAGCTAAATCCGAGTAGAGGAAGACACCTATTACCACCATAAAGTCATCCAACCCAAAAATCCAAAATCCAAAAAAAGTCCCCAAAAAAATTCAATTTTTCTTAGGCAGACGATTTTAATGCATATTCTTGCACAAAATACTCCTAAAAGTGTAGAAAAAAATTGACAGCCAAATCCGAGTAGAGGAAGACACCTATTACCACCAAAAAGTCATCCAACCCAAAAATCCAAAATCCAAAAAAAGTCCCCAAAAAAATTCAATTTTTCTTAGGCAGACGATTTTAATGCATATTCTTGCACAAAATACTCCTAAAAGTGTAGAAAAAAATTGACAGCCAAATCCGAGTAGAGGAAGACACCTATTACCACCAAAAAGTCATCCAACCCAAAAATCCAAAATCCAAAAAAAGTCCCCAAAAAAATTCAATTTTTCTTAGGCAGACGATTTTAATGCATATTCTTGCACAAAATACTCCTAAAAGTGTAGAAAAAAATTGACAGCCAAATCCGAGTAGAGGAAGACACCTATTACCACCAAAAAGTCATCCAACCCAAAAATCCAAAATCCAAAAAAAGTCCCCAAAAAAATTCAATTTTTCTTAGGCAGACGATTTTAATGCATATTCTTGCACAAAATACTCCTAAAAGTGTAGAAAAAAATTGACAGCCAAATCCGAGTAGAGGAAGACACCTATTACCACCAAAAAGTCATCCAACCCAAAAATCCAAAATCCAAAAAAAGTCCCCAAAAAAATTCAATTTTTCTTAGGCAGACGATTTTAATGCATATTCTTGCACAAAATACTCCTAAAAGTGTAGAAAAAAATTGACAGCCAAATCCGAGTAGAGGAAGACACCTATTACCACCAAAAAGTCATCCAACCCAAAAATCCAAAATCCAAAAAAAGTCCCCAAAAAAATTCAATTTTTCTTAGGCAGACGATTTTAATGCATATTCTTGCACAAAATACTCCTAAAAGTGTAGAAAAAAATTGACAGCCAAATCCGAGTAGAGGAAGACACCTATTACCACCAAAAAGTCATCCAACCCAAAAATCCAAAATCCAAAAAAAGTCCCCAAAAAAATTCAATTTTTCTTAGGCAGACGATTTTAATGCATATTCTTGCACAAAATACTCCTAAAAGTGTAGAAAAAAATTGACAGCCAAATCCGAGTAGAGGAAGACACCTATTACCACCAAAAAGTCATCCAACCCAAAAATCCAAAATCCAAAAAAAGTCCCCAAAAAAATTCAATTTTTCTTAGGCAGACGATTTTAATGCACATTCTTGCACAAAATACTCCTAAAAGTGTAGAAAAAAATTGACAGCCAAATCCGAGTAGAGGAAGACACCTATTACCACCAAAAAGTCATCCAACCCAAAAATCCAAAATCCAAAAAAAGTCCCCAAAAAAATTCAATTTTTCTTAGGCAGACGATTTTAATGCATATTCTTGCACAAAATACTCCTAAAAGTGTAGAAAAAAATTGACAGCCAAATCCGAGTAGAGGAAGACACCTATTACCACCAAAAGTCATCCAACCCAAAATCCAAAATCCAAAAAAAGTCCCCAAAAAAATTCAATTTTTCTTAGGCAGACGATTTTAATGCATATTCTTGCACAAAATACTCCTAAAAGTGTAGAAAAAAATTGACTGCCAAATCCGAGTAGAGGAAGACACCTATTACCACCAAAAAGTCATCCAACCCAAAAATCCAAAATCCAAAAAAAGTCCCCAAAAAAATTCAATTTTTCTTAGGCAGACGATTTTAATGCATATTCTTGCACAAAATACTCCTAAAAGTGTAGAAAAAAAATTGACAGCCAAATCCGAGTAGAGGAAGACACCTATTACCACCAAAAAGTCATCCAACCCAAAAATCCAAAATCCAAAAAAAGTCCCCAAAAAAATTCAATTTTTCTTAGGCAGACGATTTTAATGCACATTCTTGCACAAAATACTCCTAAAAGTGTAGAAAAAAATTGTCAGCCAAATCCGAGTAGAGAAAGACACCTATTATCACCAAAAAGTCATCCAACCCAAAAATCCAAAATCCAAAAAAAGTCCCCAAAAAAATTCAATTTTTCTTAGGCAGACGATTTTAATGCATATTCTTGCACAAAATACTCCTAAAAGTGTAGAAAAAAATTGACAGCCAAATCCGAGTAGAGGAAGACACCTATTACCACCAAAAAGTCATCCAACCCAAAAATCCAAAATCCAAAAAAATCCCCAAAAAAATTCAATTTTTCTTAGGCAGACGATTTTAATGCATATTCTTGAACAAAATACTCCTAAAAGTGTAGAAAAAAATTGACAGCCAAATCCGAGTAGAGGAAGACACCTATTACCACCAAAAAGTCATCCAACCCAAAAATCCAAAATCCAAAAAAAGTCCCCAAAAAAATTCAATTTTTCTTAGGCAGACGATTTTAATGCATATTCTTGCACAAAATACACCTAAAAGTGTAGAAAAAAATTGACAGCCAAATCCGAGTAGAGGAAGACACCTATTACCACCAAAAAGTCATCCAACCCAATAATCCAAAATCCAAAAAAAGTCTCCCAAAAAAATTCAATTTTTCTTAGGCAGACGATTTTAATGCATATTCTTGCACAAAATACTCCTAAAAGTGTAGAAAAAAATTGACAGCCCAAATCCGAGTAGAGGAAGACACCTATTACCACCAAAAAAGTCATCCAACCCAAAAATCCAAAATCCAAAAAAAGTCCCCCAAAAAAATTCAATTTTTCTTAGGCAGACGATTTTAATGCATATTCTTGCACAAAATACTCCTAAAAGTGTAGAAAAAAAATTGACAGCCAAATCCGAGTAGAGGAAGACACCTATTACCACCAAAAAGTCATCCAAAAAAAACCAAAACCAAAAAAAACCAAAATCCAAAAAAAAACCCAAAAAAATTCAAAAAAAGTAGAAAAAAAACACCAAATCCAATGCAAATTTAAAAAACATAAAAACAAAAACCAAAAACCAACCAAAAAAAAAAAAAAAACACAAGAAACCAAATCAAACAAAAAAAATAAACACCAAAAAAAAAAAAAAAAAAAATCCAACCCAAAAATCCAAAATCCAAAAAAAGTCCCCAAAAAAATTCAATTTTTCTTAGGCAGACGATTTTAATGCATATTCTTGCACAAAATACTCCTAAAAGTGTAGAAAAAAATTGACAGCCAAATCCGAGTAGAGGAAGACACCTATTACCACCAAAAAGTCATCCAACCCAAAAATCCAAAATCCAAAAAAAGTCCCCAAAAAAATTCAATTTTTCTTAGGCAGACGATTTTAATGC